TTTGGTTTCTTCCATCTAATAACTTGCTGCTACACTAGCAAGTATTTAGAATGAGAATATAGAGATCAAAAATTAGAAGTCGTAAAGGAAGAACGAGAAGAGCAAGGAAGAGAAGATCCACTTGTAATGAATTAACAGATGTTGTCTAAAAGGTATTATTTAAAGTGACAGTTTTTTTTAAAAAAAACATTTTGTTTATTTATTTGTGAGAGAGAGAAAGCATGCACACACTAGTAGGGGGAGGGGCAAAGGGAGAAGCAGATTCCTCGCTGAGCAGGGAGACCAACACGGGGCTTAATTCTAGGACCCTGGGTTCATGACCTGAGCCAAAGGCAGCTGCTTAACCAGCTGAGCCACTCAGGCATCCCAAAGGTTATAGTTTTAAACTTAAATCTAGAACAAAAATACAAACCTTCCCAATGATCAGACCAAACAAAGTAAAGCAAACAGATTCGTGGTGAAAGATTTTTGAAAGAGCGATAAAAACAAGAAGCGTAACATAAAATATTGCAACAGAGCTAACACCAAAACTTATCTGTCATGTGAACGGGTGTAAAGGTGGAGTCATCCAGTGTGGGAAGAAGAATTTTAGGATTGATGACAAAGCCAAACCCAACTGTGTTACATATGAGACATCAAAAACAAAGTGATCCAGGAGAGTTGAAGATAAAATGTGGATCAAAGACATATGTCATCAGATGCAAACAAAAAGAAGTCAGGGATCATGGTCTTAATATGAGAAGAGGCTGGGTTCAGAACAGAAAGGAATAAGTGAGCATGTTATGATGCTACATCATAAGATAAAGCTCTGTACCCCTAAAGCAAGAAGACAGCGGTACAAGGTGATAGAGATTTACAGTAGTGCTGGGAGGTTAAACTCACCTCTCAGCTCATGAGAGAGTAAAGCATAGAAATGAGGTTGGGCCAGAAGTGCCCAATTAAAATAATAAGTAAGGTAGAATTGACAGATGTTGAACTCCATGCCCTGAAGACAGAGAATACACCTTTTCAAGTGCCCCTAAAACATTTAGAAAATTGAGCATTCACAGAAACCTCAAGAAATTCCCCAAAGTAGAAGTAACATAGACAAGGATGATGGGGAAAATAGGTCCTGGCTGGTAGAGCAAAGGTACCTTCCAGTCCGAAAAGACCTAGTTCTGAGTGGAACTTGGCCCACCTCACTGAAGTACACCAGTGAGCATCAGCCCCGAATGTGGACCAGGTGCTCCGAGTGCAGTAGAAGTAGCATAGTCTACTTCTATGGAAGTAGAAATCCGTAACAAACCCGGCAAGTAAAGAGCCGTGACAATAGCAAAGCTCTTAACTCAGGTGAAAGAAGAATTCCAAACCAAACGGGAGACTTCTAGGAGATAGTATGAATGCTACGGAAGGATCCATTGGGGGTGCTGAAGAGCTTTGTCATAAAGAAATACATTCAGGTATTATTCTTTGCCGCTCTTGTATTGTCTTTTCTTGTCTCTGTAACCCTCTCCTGCTACCGAGATTCATTTCTTCTCACTCAGGCTACCTCCGAGTGTCTTGAAGGAATGGATATCCGTGGCATACTCCAGAGCCCTCTCAGCACAGAGGCATCTCTAACGCTCAGAGTTTTCTAGATTTTATATATATATATATATATATATATATATATATATATATATATATTCTTCCAATATATATACATAGAAAGAAATTTATGAAAGGGATTTGGTTTGTGCCTAACGGAAGCTAAGAAATCCCATGATCTGCAACCAGCAAGCAGGAGAACCAGGAGAGCTGATGGTGTGACTTTTAGTCTGAGTCTGAGTCCAAAGGCAGGGCTAGATTGATGTTCCAGCTGGAAGCCAGTCTGACAGAGAGCAAATTCTTCCTTACTCCACCTTTTTGTTCTATTCAGACCTTCAGTGGATTGAAGGAGACCCACCCACACCTGGGAAGGGCAGTCTGCTTTTCTCAAGCTACCAATTCAGTTACTCATCTCACCAGGAACACTCTCACAGACACACCCACGATAGTGTTTAACCAAATATCTGAACACCCTGTGGTCCAGTCAAGTTGACGCAGAAAACGAATCATCCCGACTACTAGGAGACCAATGAGAATTCCTGAACAAATGGGAAAAAGAGTGATTTTTGTTGGAAGCCTTAGTATTTAAAAATGTCCGTTCTCAAGTTTATTTGTAAAATTAACACGATCCCAATACAAATACCAACGGGATTGTTGGGAATTTGATAAGTGGATTCTAAATTTCATATAACAGAATGCACAAGTTAGAATAGCCAGGAATATTCTGAAAAAGCAACCCTACCTGGCAGTAATGTGTGTGATTGAGCTCCTAGCTGCCTTTCAAGCCATTGTTCCCACTTGCTCTTGTCCTTCAGCCTCATTTTCTTTGCTCAGATCTTTGACCATGCATGTTCCTGCCACAGGACCCTCGCTCAGACTTTGACTACTTGCATGATGTACGTTTTGGCCTGCTTCATTACCTCTTGCCTGTTTAATACCTGCTCAGTCATCACTCCTTTAGAGAAATCTTTCCTTCCCATTTCTCTGATCATAAGTCACTTTCCTTTGTTCTCTTCTTTTTTTCTTGTGTGCATTTCAGTTTGTAATTATGCAACGATTAGTGTTGTTGTCTGATAAATGCTCTTTTTCTAAGTAGGGTGTAAGCTCAGTGCCTGACTGTAAGTTTTCAGTAAATATTTGTTGGCAAATAATCTCCTCTCTGCTGGACTTTGAAGGGTGATTTAGACCCACCACTCTCCTCTGAACTCAGTACTCAGGAGTCTGCACAATGTGGGCCCTGTTCTGGTGTCCATGGTACTGAGATCTTAATGTGTTATTTCTTTCACCTGTGCCCATCTGAAGATGTAAGTGATTTTTGGTAGTGTTTTGCATTAGATTGTAACCTCCTACAATGAAGAGCCATATCTGAGCTGTCCTGTATGGCTTTTAATATCATGTCCAAGGATACTATTTTTTCATAAGAAGGCAATATAAGATTATGGAATGATTATATCATTTCCTGAAAAAGGATGTTAGTCATCGAAAGAAATAATCATAGCTATTGAAAAACTTAACTCTCCTGATGAATTTTATAAAATAATGTGCATACAGATTCCAGGGAGGCTCAGTTGGTTGAGCATCCAACTCTTGTTTTCAGCTCAGGTCATGATCTCAGGATCGTGAGACTGAACCCTACATCAGGCTCCCCACTCAGTGTTTAGTCTGCTTGAGATTCCCTCTCTTCCTCTGCCCCTCCTCCTCCTGCCCCCCCAATAGACAAATACATAAAATCTTTAAAAATATAAAACGAAATGATGTGCCATGCATACTCTACTTCAAACATCTCAGAGGTCCTTATGTGGCCTGTTGTAGGAAATCTTGCTGTGGTGGTTAGGGTGGAGAAATCACTTCTGAATATAAAGCTAGGCTGAACTGGATGTGGTTCTCTTATGATGTAGTTAAACTTTTTATGTGTTCTCCCCAGGAATACATACCTACCATTTTCTGGGATATGTTGTGATTGGCAAATACGGGCTGTTACTAGGTGCACTGAAGGTTTTGTTTGGCATTTTGTGCATTGAAACACACTAGTCATGACAACGCTTGTTGTAAAGTTAAGGACTTTGAGATGACTTTTGCATTCATGAGTATTTCCAAACAGTAGTCTTTGGCAGTTCAGTAGCTGAGCAGTCATAAACCAGTTTTACTAGTGTGTCCCCTGTGGCCTTGTGGATAATTCCAGGAAACTCTCCTTTATGTGACCTCTTTCATATTCCTTCAAAAAGGAATGGCTTTCCTGTGTGTCTTTCGCAAAGACCATGGGCCCTAAAAACTTCACAGAGGTAGACACATAGGTATCTGTCCAAGCTCAGGAATAATTCTTGAAGGAAGCAGGCTTCATGGCCTGAGTAAGATGGAAAAAGAACTAGAGGTTGCAGACTACAACCCACAGGCCAAACCCATCAAATCTGCTCTGCAGATGTGTTTATTTGGATCATATGGTGTTTCTTTTTTAAACATTGAAATTCCTTGCCAAGCTGCAAAAACTGTGAATTTTTACTTCAAAAATTCTGAATATATAACTTGTCTTGAAAAATTGGAAAAAAAATTGGCCATGCTGGGATCCCTGTTCCTGCATTTGGCAGCCATCAATGGAGCGGAGAGCTGTTTCCTTGTGGCCAGAGCAAGGACTCCTCAAGCACTGCCCCACTATTGCTGGTCTCCTGTATCTGTGTCACCTTCATGATCCCAAGATGGACTATGGGGTTGAGAATAAGTGGTATAATGAAATATTAGGAAGGAGAGAGCCTTTTGCATTTAACTCAGATGATCTCTTTGATAAATGACACATTTCATTCGAAAGATGAGAGAAGTTGATAATTTTTGTAGTCTGGAAACAGAAGGACAATGAAAACTGCCTCTTTGCTGTGGACCTTGTCACATTGTGTCTCTTCTGACAGTTCTTTGGGGACTCTGTTGGTTCTGGTCAGAGGTCAAATGGCATTTGAGTTGGGTAGAAGGAGGCTCTCTAAAGTGGCAAAGGCCAACTCTTTATTTATTTATTTATTTATTTATTTATTTATTTATTTATTTAGAGAGAGGGAGAGAGCGTGAACGGGGGTGAGGGGCAGATGGAGAGGGAGAAGCAAGCTCTCCTCTGAGCAGGGCACCCAATGCAGGTCTTGATCCTAGGACCCTAAGATGGTGACCTAAGCTGAAGGCCGATGTGTAACCAACTGAGCTACCCAGGTGCCCCTCAAAGGCCAATACTTTAATGCCATCCTGGGAGAGCACATCATTCATTCCTGGGCTGCCTCCTGCCTCCTTCAGAATTTTGAGAATGAAATGTTCTGGATGAGACACTTCCCTGGGCAGCATGTTTGAGACATTTGCACTACAAAGAATGCTCTGTTTATCTTACTTTGCACAGCTGCATTAGAAAAGATTGTTTAAAACTCTTTTTTGCATTCTGTCTTTTGGGGGAACCCTGTCAGGAAATTTATGACCATCTCCTGGAAGTCCCAGTCTCTCGGGACCAATTAAACCACTATCGGAATGTGGCTGAAGACGCTCGAAGTGAACTGGCGGCAACTTTGGTCAAATTTGAATGTGCTCAGTCTGAGGTAAGACTATGCATCTTCATGACTTAGAAATGGGCCATTTTAGCGTCTTACAGAGTGAAGCAGAATGTAGAAGTGAGTAGAAATAGGATGGGAGGACACAGCTTTATATCTTTTGGCAAAGGTGATAATTACTCCTATGGTGCGCCTGCTCCCCTCACTGTAGAGAATTCCTGAAAGGTTATGCATTTGCCATGGTGCAAAGCATGATGACATGGGCTGGATCCTAGAGGTCAGAGATGCTTCACAACCTTGAGAGACCTGGGGACACCTGATGACTTTGGTTGAAGCTTGGCATTGGGGCACTTTTAGCATCACCCTGAATATGTACATTTAATATAGTTTGCTTGGCAATCTGGATCTCTTAGGATAGAATTCTGGGTCCCTTTCTAGTGCTGGTTCTGACTGGCTGGGGGAGATTCTAGGACGATGATTGGGATCCATCTATCCTCTGGGCTGGATCAGGTCTGTTGTGGAGTTTCTGAGAGAGTCTCTCTAGATCCATTCTGCTCACAGCCTGGTGGCCCTGAGACATCCTAAGCTTGCCTGTGAGGTAACGAGTGCTGCCAGGAATCCACTGAGAGATGATTTTATACCTTGTGTGTGTGTGTGTGTGTGTGTGTGTGTGTGTGTGAACAATTGTATGCATGTATACTCACAGTTGCAAAGAAGTACATGCATTCATAAAGTCTTCACATAGGGTGGACCTGACATCTTAATAGGGGGTACATACATTGTTAAGTATTTTGATGCCACAGAATTCATGAAAGTTAAAGTGCTTGTTTTATATAAATTCTATAAGGATTTTCCTTTTCTTCCATATTTTTCTCAGAAATCTGAATATTATTTTTTTATTATTAATATATATATTTTTACCATCCACAATAAGGATCCATCCAGAAGGCAAGTGGGAGAAATACAGTGATATATCAAACAGTCTGTATCTTAGGAACCAGTTGTGGCCATGAAATAACAAATATCTTAGCTTGTAGGTTTCTTTTTTTTTTTTTTTAAAGATTTTATTTATTCATGAGAAAGAGAGAGAGAGAGAGAGGTGGAGACACAGAAAGAGGGAGAAGCAGGCTTCTGCAGGGAGCCTGATGTGGGACTCAATCCCGGGACTCCAGGATCACATCCTGGGCCAAAGGCAGGCACCAAACCGCTGAGCCACATGGGGATCCCAGCTTGTAGGTTTCTTGTTTCGTTGTCTGTCAGCAGCAATACAGATTTATTTATTTTTTAAAGATTTTATTAACTTATTTGAGAGAGAGAGAGAATGAGCAGGGGGAGGGGCAGAGGGAGAGGGAGAAGCAGATTCCCCACTGAGCAGGGAACTCGACTTGGGCTCCATCCCAGGATCCTGGGATCATGACCTGAACTGAAGGTAGAAGCTTAACCGAATGAGCCACCCAGGTGCCCCAGCAATAGATTTAGAAAACAAGTTACCATTGCAAAATATTCCATTGCTTTTTGCAAAATATACCATAAATGTCTCTGAGTGACACTAAATCATCCCAAGACATTGCTCAATTGATGTCGAAAGAGACAGAGTACGAAGTCCATTATTTGGGCAAAAGTACCCATCTGGTGGTGCAAATACACATATGAAAAAAAAAAAAGAAAGTTGGATTAAGTGACGAACGAAAGAGTGAGATTTGAAATTACAGTTTTGGGTTCCTTAAAAGTACATCATACTTAGGCCATCGAAATCGTTTTCCTCCTTTTTATGTTTTTTCTGTGTTAGCTTCGAGACCTCCGCTCCAAGCTGCTTTCTAAAGAAGCCTTCTGTCAAGAGTTGAAAGCTGAAATGGAGAATTACAAAGAAAATAATGCTAGAAAATCATCTCTCCTCACCTCTCTGAGAGACAGAGTTCAGGAGCTGGAAGAAGAATCAGCAGCACTTACCGCTTCTAAAATTAGAACGGAAATCACAGCTCACACTGCAATCAAGGAGAACCAGGAGTTAAAGAAGAAAGTTGCAGAACTAGATGAGAGCTTCCAGTAAGGGTATTTCAATATATTTCTTAGTTGTTAGCATTAAAATACTAGCTCCTGTAGCTGGATACGCCTTGGAAGGTACTGGTGTGTTGTTGTTGTATTTGGCCGTGAAACTCAATTTGAAAAAAAAAAAAATTTGAACCTCAAATATCTTTGGAGTCTTGAAAATTTTTCTCAAGCTCTTTTCCAAATGTTATGAGGGATCTTAACAAACAAGGCATTGTCCTAAGCATGTTTATGTACGATTGATTAGGGCTGCAAATGTTCATATATAGAATTTGGAAGATTTTCTGTAAGTAGAGGTTTAACCAGAGGTGGTAGAGTAGCACACAGAGGGAGGTGTTTATTCAGAAGCTAGCTGTAAAAACTACCCTGGAAGCCCAGACCACTCCAGACCACCCCGAATGCTCCTCATTAGGTTTTATTGCAGGTTATATGCAGAAAACTCACGAGACCTGGGTTTTCCACACTTAGTTCTGGCAAAAGGTAATTTTGAGACAAAACTGGGAACTGGTTGTTCCTAAAATATACTTTTAAAATTTTACAGGTAATAACTTAAATAACTTTAATAATATGATACTTGATATTTATTTTACTTATTTATATTTTTATTCCATCTTATTTTTATTTTACTTATTCCATCTTAAAAAAAAAAACAATACCTCCAACTCTTGTCTTCTTTTTCTTTTTCTCTCTCCACTGACAGCAAAACTCCTTAAAATGTTTGCATAGACTCACAGTCTCCACTTCTTCTCCTTTCTTCTCTCTTGGGTCTCCTCTCCCAAAACCACTCACCACAGTGACCAGTGACCACACATTGCAGATGATATGGTTAGCCTTTATCTCACTTGATCCACCAGTATATCAGGCACAGTTGGTCTCTCTCTTTGAACCACCTTCTTCTTCTGGCTGCCAGGGTATGACATATGCCTGCTTTGTATCTTTCCTTTCTAGATGCCGTGCTGTAGTCTCTTTTGTTTTTCCCCCTCTCATCTTATTGACTTCCAAAGACTGGAGTGCTCTGGCACTCAATCTTTGAATCTCTTCTGGTTTCTATCTAAATTCACTCTCTTGATGATCTCATCTAGTCCCATGACTTTAAATATGATTTAAATGCTACTGACACCCAAGTTTCTCTATCTTTCCTGGATGTCTTCTTAGAGCTCAAGAAAGACCCACATGGTTTACTGCCTGGTGGGAATTGTCACGCAGATGTTCAATGGGCATCTCAAACGTAACATGGGCAAGACGGAGCTCCTGTTGTTCCCACAGAGCCCTCCTGCTCCTTTCCTTGTCTCTAATGATAATCCCATGCCTCTAGATATCAGGTCAGCAATCTTGGTCATCATCCTTGGTCCTCTTGCTTTCACACCCTGTGTCTGTTCCTTCAAGTCCCCTCATCTCTACCTTCAAAATAAATTTACATTTTAACTACTTCCCATTGCTGCCCTCATTGCCACTAACTTGATTCAAGGGACTGCCATCTCTCTCCTGGATTTTTGCATTAGCCTCCAAAGTGATTTTCCTGCTGCTGCCTGTGCCCCTCACAGCCAGAGTGATCCTGTAAAAACACAAATTAGATCTTGTCGGTCCTGTGCTCAAAGGCCTGTAGTGACTTCTCTTCTTACTCAGGGAAAAGACAAAGGATATTCTATGACCGAGAAGACTCATCCTGACCTGGTTTTGCTTCCATTCTCTCTTATTCTTTCCATTTCAGCTCACTGGCTTCTTTGCTGTCCTTTGAATGTAAGAGGTGTATTCCTACCTCAGGACTTTTTCACTCACTAATCACTTGGCCTGGAAAGCTCTTCCTCTAAATATTGCATGGCTGTCCCTCTGCTCCCTTTAGGTCTTCACTCAGAAGTCACCTTCTCAGTGAGGTCTTCTATGAGTGACAACATCTAAAATTTTACTCTGCTCCTCTCCCCCCACCGCAAATATTTCTTACTCCCTTTCCTGCTTAATTTTTTCTCTCCAGCTTTTTTTGGGTAACAGTATACATTTCATATACATTGATTTTGATTACTATCCCTCTTCCCAACTAGAACGTAAGCTCCATGAAGGCAAGGATGTCCATCTGTTCTTTAACTATTGTATTTTTAGTACCTTTAATAAGGCTTGATGCATAGTGAGTACCCAATAAATATTTATCAAATAAATGAGTAACACAAATGATACGTACTAATTGTAAAAAAATATTTTTAGGATATATAAAATTGCCAAAAATATTAAAATTACTCAAGACCTTATGATTCCTGAGAAGCCATACTTCAGATTTTAGTGAACGGGTTTTCAGATAGTTGTACATCTATGACGACATGTAATGAATTCTTTTTTTTTTTTACTGAATAATATGTTGTAGATATATACTTTTAAAGATTTTATTTATTTATTTATTTATTTATAGATCTGGAGCAGGGGGAGGGACAGAGGGAGAAGGAAAGATAGAATCTCAAGCAGGTTCTGCAGTGAGTATGGAGCCCGATGTGGGGCTTGATCTCACGACCCTGAGACCATAACCTGAGCTAAAATCAAGAGTCAGACGCTTAACCAACTGAGCCACCCAATTGCCCTTATGTTGTAGATATTTTAAAAAGTCATTCATTATATCATCTTCAATGGCCCATGGTACCCAATGCCTGAAATATCGTAATTTACTTATCAATTCTTTTTGTTATTTCCTATAGAATTAGTTTCACTCAAAAAATTATTATAAACCAAGATGCATGGGACGTCTGGGTGGCTCAGTGGTTTTAGCACCTGCCTTCGGTCCAGGGCGTGATCCTAGAGTCCCGGGATCAATTCCCGCATTGGGCATCCTGCGTGGAGCCTGCTTCTCCCTCTGCCTGTGTCTCTGCTTGTCTCTCTGTGTCTCTCATGAATAAATAATAAAAATCTTTAAAAAATAAAAAAATAAACCAAGATGCAATGAATATTCGTGTATAGTCATATTTTCATATTTATGTGATTATGTCCTTAGGGTAGATTCCTAGAACTTTGTTGGGTCCAAGCGAAATGCAAATAGAAGTGAGAATAGTTCGGCCACCCTTAGGATGAAGAAAGCAAGATTGAAGTCTTGGAGTGAATGGGTGGAATCATACACATAAATCAACCCATGTCATAGCATTAGCTGTGCCTTTCGTGAGTCAGAGAGACTGAATAAATATTACCTTTTAAATGCTGCAGATAAGAGCTTAGAGATATATTGATGTTGGTCTTTTATTGTTCTACATTTTTCTAACTAGAAATATATGCTTTTGAATGTATGCAATTATATGCTTTGTTAATCTTTGAATAGAGTGAAAGAATTTGCAGTAAACACTTAACATGGTAAAAAGGGAAAGCAATAATCATGTTTATTATCTTGGATACTGAAAGAATGATACCAGATTACCAAAATGATTCTAATTTGCTTTTAAAGTATGTTCATTTTTTTATGATCTTTTAGTCTCTGACATTTCATTAGAAATAGACCTGTGCTATTTCAGCAAACATATCTGAGATTTGAAATGAAATATTCAGAGCAGAGTATAATCAACGGATTTTCCTTGACTGGCCCATATCAATACTCTAAAAACTCTGGATGTGTGAAAACTAATAATGATCTTTGCTGATGATTGAACATCTCTTTTCTATAGGGAGAGTATCCCCCTGCTCCTGTTATATTTTTTATTATAGTTATGCTTGGCCATTACCTAGGGTATGCCCTAAGCAACCCATATAGATCACTGCATAACATCTGAAAATAAAACAAATGAATAGAAGAAATACAGCAGCACTGTCCTTCATGAGGACCCAACAGAGACTCACAACTAGATACATCCATTGTGACCTAGAGATTTACTGCCACTTTTACAGATTCTAAATAGTAGGAGATAAGAGGCAGAGTCTATCTCCTCTGCTGTTACTAGATCTAAGATGCCATGAAGATTTCTCTACATTTCTGCAAAGTGTAGGTGCCTGTTTTTCACTTTTCTCCTTCCCTCACAGAGCTTGCGTGACAATGATGTGCTCTGTGTCCAGGAAATTGGCGTTATGATAAAAATGATGATTGGATCAGAGAGCTTAAGTGCTGAACTTTGTTTGATGACTGATCTCTTCTGTTGTGTTACAACTTGACTTATGTGTTATTTGCCTTATAGAAAGTGTTTAAAGGAAAATGAGGAGAATAAGAATCAAGTCTCAAAGAATTGCAGGCAACATGAAGAATTTCTAGCTCAACTTGGTGACTGCTTAGATCCAGACAAGAAGAATGAAAAGGCATCATATGAAGATTTAATTCTAAAGGTGTATGCACATGAACAAGACGATAAATGTAGTGGCCATTCTGACATGTGCCATGAAAGGAAGTGCTGTGGTTGAGTCTGTGTGTGGCAGGAGAGTGGGATAGTAGCCCAAGCATAGCATTACTTGACTGTGCAACCTGGGATAAATCTTATTACGTCTCTGAGCTGAGTTCCAAAATCCTTTCTATCATTATTTGGGATTAATACTCTCTGGAAAGGATTGTTTTGTCCAAAATACATTTACGCTGCCAAATACAATTAATTATTCATCATAGCAATGAGTTTTAGGGAGTTTTTTAAAATTTTAGTTACAAACAGAAGGACATATACATAGAACTCAAACCAAAACCAACTGTGTCAGCTTTGGGATACTAACTGAGTATAAGGTTAAGATTAGTTCTAAAGTACTTTTTAATTTTCCATTGAAACCAAATAATAGAAATCCTACTTTAATGGTAGGTTGCCAGTAAGAAGGAAATTAGTTATATCAAGTGAATAATTCACTTGGCACATAGTGATTCATTAGGGAAACTGACAGTGTTGGAGCTCTCACCATGTCTGCTCATTTCTCACCTTTCATACCTTTGCTTCCTGACAGATCTTCTTGCAGCCAATTTTTTTTAAAATTAAAATTCGGGTGTAATTGACATGCGACATTATATTCATTTCAGGGGTACAGGGTAATGATTCAACACTTGTGTACACTGTGAAATGATCACCATAATAAGTCTGGTCACCATCTGTCACCATGAAAAGTTAGAAAAAAATTATTATTTTTTTTCTTGGGATGAGAACTTTCAAGAGGTACTTTCCTGGCAACTTTCAGATATGTACTATGATACCTTTGACTGTAATCACCATGCTGCATACCACATCTCTATCATCTATTCATTTCACAGCTGGAAGTCTATACCTCCCAACCACCTTCACCCATTTCACCCACTCCACAATCCTCCCCCCCACTGGCAACAACTGCTTTGTTCTCCATATTCTTGAGCTTTTGTTTTGTTTGCTCATTTGTTTTTTAGATTCATATAAGTGAAATCATAGAGTAATTATTTTTCTCTGACTTATTTCACTTAGCATAACACTCTCAAAGTCCATCCATGTTGTCACAAATGGCAAAATGTTATTCTCTCTCGGGTGTGGTGGGCAGAGAGAGAGGGAGAGAGTGAATCTTTTTTTTTTTTGAAGATTTTATTTATTTATTCATGAGAGACACACAGAGAGAGGCAGAGACACAGGCAGAGGGAGAAGCGGGCACTCCACAGGGAACCTAATGTGGGGCTTGATCCAAGGACCCCGGGATCATGCCTTGAGCCAAAGGCTGATGCTCAACCACTGAGCCACCCAGTCATCCCAGAAGAGAGAGAATCTTAAGCAGGTTCCATGCCCAGCACATAGCCCAGCTTAGGGTTCCATCTCATGAACCTGAGCCAAAATCAAAGTTGGATGCTTAACTGACTGAGCCACCCAGGCACTCCATTTCATTCTCTTTAATGGCTGAGTAGTATTCCAGATTTTATATGTATACTTTTTTATATGTATATAATTTTACATATATATGTAATTTTTATACATGTATCTTTATTCATCTATTTTTTTTTTTTAAATTTTTATTTATTTATAATAGTCACACAGAGAGAGAAAGAGAGAGGCAGAGACATAGGCAGAGGGAGAAGCAGGCTCCATGCACCGGGAGCCCGACATGGGACTCGATCCCGGGTCTCCAGGATCGCGCCCTGGGCCAAAGACAGGCGCTAAACCGCTGCGCCACCCAGGGATCCCAAATAGACACTTAGGTTGTTTCCATAGCTCAGTTATTGTAAATAATGCTGTAATGAACATATGAGTGCATATATATTTTCTTTATTCATTTTAGAAAGATAGAGCGTGTGAGCATGAGCAGGGTGAGGAGCAGAGGAAGGGGGATAGGCTGAGTCCATGCTGAGCATGGAGACTCATGTGGGGCTTGATCCTAGGACCCTGAGATCATGACCTAAGCAGAAATCAAGAGTCAGATGCTTAACCTACAGAGCCACCCAGGCAATCCACATAAATCTTTTCTAAATAGTGTTATTATTTTCTTGGGATAAATACTCAGAAGTGGAATTTCTGGATTGTATGGTAATTCTATTTTTAATTTTCTGAGGAATCTCCATTCTGTTTCCCATAGTGGCTGCACCAATTTGCATTCCTAGCCATAGCGCACAACGTTTCCCCTTTCTCCACATCTTCTCCCACAGTTATTTTTTTATCTTTTTGATATTAGCCATTCTGACAAACGTAACCTGAAACCTCATGTGGTTTGGATTTGTATTTCCTGGATGGTGAATGATGTTGAACATCTTTTCATGGGTCTCTTTTCCATTTGTATGTCATCTTTGGAGAAATGGCTATTCAAGTCCTCTGCCTGTTTTTTTTCCTCTATGAGTTCTTTATATATTTTCGATATTAACCCCTTATGAGGTATATGATTTTCAGATATTTTCTTCCCATTCAGTAGGTTGCCTTTTCATCTTATTGATGGTTTTCTTTGCCATGATGTAATCTTGCTTGTTCACTTTTGCTTTTATTGCCTTTGCTTTTGGAGTCAGATCAAAAAAAAAAAAAAATACATTGCCAAGACTGATGTCAAGGAGCTTACTGCCTGTGTTTTCTTCCAGGAATTTTATGGTTTCATGTCTTATATTCAAATCTGTAATCCATTTTAAGTTCATTTTTGTATGAACTATAAGATGGTAGTCTAGTTTTTTCTTTTGCATGTGTCTGTCCAGTTTTCTCAACACCACTTATTGAAGAGACTGTGAGGGATCCCTGGGTGGCGCAGCGGTTTGGCGCCTGCCTTTGGCCCAGGGCGCGATCCTGGTGGAGACCCAGGATTGAATCCCACGTCGGGCTCCCGGTGCATGGAGCCTGCTTCTCCCTCTGCCTGTGTCTCTGCCTCTCTCTCTCATTCTGTGTGACTATCATAAATAAAAAAAAAAAATTGAAGAGACTGTGAATCTATAGATTGCTTTGAGTAATAGGGACATTTTAACAATATTAACTCTTCCAGTCCATGAGCACAGAATACCTTTCCATTTATTTGTGTCTTCTTCAATTTCTTTCTTCTACGCAGCCATTCTTAAAGGTCACTTCTCAGACTTTTATTAGTAAGCTTCCCCACTGTATTTCCTGAAAGCTGTAAAATCATTTCAGTTAACTTCAAGAAGTGTTCCACTTCACTGATGGGTTTTGAAAGCTCAGGCCTGATAACCTCGAGAGTTCTGGATGCATCTCCTCTTCCTTGTTGCTCAATAGTGACCAGGAGCCTGGCTCTAAAAGTCCACAGGGCAGTGTAGCTTGGGAGATTGTTTGTAAAGCCACATGATGGGGAAAAGAGAATGAAGAACCTCTCCTTTTATGACACACTTTCCCCACATCAGAGCCTAGCTCCACATGCTAGTCTGGGAGTTGATACTGTATGAATTATGCCTCATTGTTTTCCGTATTTCAAATGCTTTGACATTCTCCTTGCTGACCCAGGAGAGACTGACTCAGAGGGTTAGCCAGTTCCTTATAAATGACTCTCCCAGGAGCAGGGCTTCAATATGCAAACGAACTGCTCCCACATTGCAGCCATTTTCTGTCTCAGGCTCTGGGCCACTGTCCAGCTCCCCTAATCACCACAGGGCTAGGTACCAGACAACTAGGAACAGTCCCTGCACCCCTCAGATTTCTCAAACTAGCCAGGCCCAAACCTGCTTCCTTCACCTCACTTACTCCTTCCCGGAGAAACTGCAATACGAAAAAAAAAAAAAAGAAAAAAGAAAAAAAAGAAACTGCAATAGGGACTCTTGCCCCTGGTTTTCTCTTGCTGTCCAAATCTCCTGACTGACCCGGTGCCTCCTTGTGTGGCTATGGCATGGTGTGCCCCCTCTTCTTACTACACTTGATCTTAGCCAAAAGGCCCAGAAGCGATTGTGCCCCCTCCTCTTGAGAACTGTGAGTAACACATGGTTTTTCAATGGCGGCTCTCTCTAGATCTGTTCACCTCATTGTACCTGAATAACAGAAGAAACTATATTTTAAAACAGATTCTGGGATTCTAGGGCTTCAGCATCTCAAATTAAAAAAAAAAAAAAGTCACTGGCCAAGAGCAGAAAGGCTGTTGTCTTGATCAATATTTACTAGGAGTTCCCCTGAGAAGGGAACAAAACCACTCCTTCAGTTTTTAAACCATTTCCTAATGGTTTCCTAACCACATGTGCACACACGCTCCCAAGAAACCAAGAAGGCATTCCTAAGGACTTATTTGACATTGATCTATTTCACAGATATCTATTTGTCTTTATTTTTAAGAAAGTTTTTATTTATTTATTTGAGAGAGAGAGAGAGAGTACACAAGTAGGTGGAGAAGCAGAGGGAGAGGGAGAAGCAGGCTCCCTGCTGAGCAGGGATGTGGGGGTTGATCCCAGGACCCTAAGATCATGACCTGAGCTGAAGGCAGATGCTTAACCAACTGAGCCACCCAGGTGCCCCCATTTTCCAGATATTTGGTGAGTGACTACTCTCTGCTAGATGAGGTCCCAGGTGCTGGTGGTGCCACAGTGAATGAGATAAGACTAAATCTGTGCTCTTCTAGAAGTTTGTTACTGTGAGATAATGAAGAAATAAATAACTAATATCCCACATAGTAAAGGTGAAGAAAAACAAATGGGGATGTGGGGATAGAGAATGAGGCATATTTAGAGGCATGGCAGGCTAGTTTAGGGAGACAGGCTGAGTGAGGAGTGCCCCTTGAGGGAGGGACATTTATTAAAATTATTTTTAAAATTCAATTAATTAACAATAGTGTATTATTAGTTTCAGAGATAGAGTTCAGTGATTCATTAGTCTTATATAACACCCAATGCTCATTACATCACATGCCTTCCTTAATGCCCATCACCCAATTACCCCATCCTCCACCCTATCCCCTCCAGCAACCTCAGTTTGTTTCCTATGATTAAGAGTCTCTTATGATTTTTCTCCCTCTCTGATTTCGTCTTATTTTTCCCTTTCTTCCCCTATGAACCTTTGTTTTGTGCCTAAATTCTACATATGAGTGATCTGATATTTGTCTTTTTCTCATTAACTTATTTCACTTAGCATGATACCCTCTAGTTCCATCCATATCGTTATAAATGGCAAGATTTCATTTTTTTGACAGTTGAGTAATATTCCATTGTACATATATCACATCTTCTTTATCCATTCATCTGTCGATGGACATCTTGGCTCTTTCCACAGCTTGGCTATTGTGATATTGCTGCTATAAACATTGGGGTACAAGTGCCCCTTTGGATCATCACATTTGTATCTTTGGGGTAAATACCTAGTAGTGCAATTGCTGGGTCTTAGAGTAGCTCTGTTTTCTACTTCCTGAGGCAAGTCCACAGTTTTCCAGAGTGGCTGCACCAGCTTGCCTTCTGAAGTTGAGACTTTGGAAGATGTTGGGGACTGAGCATACACATATGTGGAAATGTATTTAAGAGAGTGGAAACAGCCCTGAGTTGGGAGCAGGGCACCATGTTGGCCAGGTGCTGAGGCTGAAAGCTGTATTCCTTCCCCCAGAGTGCCATAACACAGATACTGACTCTGTAATGTGGGGTGCTAGCTCTTCCTGTAGGCGTCCTCATGGCCTTAACAGGCTAAGCTGTTGGCTGGTTCCCTGGGCCAACGAGCGTGTCTGATTTCATTTTCTCTACTTGTAAATCTTAACAAATCTTATTAATGCTTTCAGCTGACAATCCAAATGCACAACATAGAGAGTGAAAAGCTCTGCTAATCCCAATGGGAGCCACTGTATGAGCATGTTATTCAGGATTTTTCTGTGCTTGTATTAATTAGAAAGATTTTCTTTTTAAAAAGAGTCTGGCTTTCTTCTCTGTATTTCCTCCCTGTGCCAGGTAGTGCCTTGCATGCAGTTGGTGCCAGTGGACGTGGGCAAAATAGAAGAACTCCTTTGCTTCCTCGCCCGCTGTAATCTCTGTAGACCATCACCTTTCCTTGATTATTTAAACTGGGGGCTTGCTGACGCTGGCTCTGTTGGGAAGCATTTGGCAAGACTCTCAGCAATGTTGCCCTGGAGCTATCTTTTGATTAATTTTAATTTGATCACTGGGTCTGTGCATAACAACAGAGTTTAGAAGCTGCATTTGAAAATGTGTTCTTTTGAGTGGAGGGAGGAATAGTGCTTTCAGTGGTTTCATGTGATAATGCAGTCAGCAGGGTATGTAGATCAGAGTTGCTTGGAGGAAGCGGTATGAAATTGTTAATTTTTATAGGATAGCTGTAATTGCTTTCTCTTCAGCTTAGAGAGCTGTGTGAAGAAAATGCATTCGTCAAAGGACAGATTGTTACTCTTGAAGAGACTATAAATGTCCATGAGATGGAAGCAAAAGCTAGCAGAGAAACCATCATGAGGCTGGTTTCAGAAGTAAACAGAGCGCAGGAAAAAGCTGTCTCCTGCACTAAAGAGAAAGGCAAGCTGAACCAGGTACAGTATGTGAAGTGTGAGTGTGCATCTCTGATCATGTTTATGAAGCAGAAATTGAAAACCAGATGTGGGTGAGCACACTGGCATTACTGACCACAGTTTCCAAAGGCTGCTGTCAGCAGGAGGGCTGTGGGGGGAACTCAGTGACCTGAGCAGGCCATTTGATACAGTTTTTCCCTAATTAGAAAAAAAAGAAATACAACACACTTAAAAGTAGAGTTTGTTGAGACTATGTCCGACTTCAGTTAGACTTGAAGGATTTTTAAAACTCACACATTAATTTTTTTGGACTAATAGGTAATGCATACAGCAGATACAAAATTCCAAATAGACATAAGGGTATATGGTAAAAATCTTCCCCTACCCCCTCCCGCCACCCACCCATTTGTTCTCTGTCAACAATTATTTTATATATACCTTTCTAGATATGTTCTATGATATATATACTTATTCTTTTTTATTTAATTTTAATACAAATGGCAACAGGCTCTGCATTATATATTTTTCTTTTTTGCATTATATTTATCTTTAATATAAAATGGTAATATACCACGCACTATTATGAGCAAGGCTGCTATGCGTAATCATTTATTATTTGTCATGCATGAGAATGTATCAATAATTAGACAAAACCCTTGACATATACTTGCGAGGACGAAGGATATAGGTATTATTTAGAAGATACTGTCAAAAGGAAGTGCCTCAATGCTAACTAGACCTTTATTTGCACAATGAATTGTTTGTTCTTTTCAAATTACCTAAAACCCTGTTTGAGCATGCAAATTGTATGATTTTTGAACACTCTATAATCTTTCAGTTATATTTTTATATTTTTGCAACAAAGAAACTAATAATGGGATTAATAATAATGATGAATTTTCAAAAGTGAAAGTGAGCCAGGGCAATCAGTTAAGAAAATACATAAGAGACAATTAAGAGGTAAAGAAGATGTAGTATATACATATTTTTAAGATTTTATTTAGTTTTTCATGAGAGACACAGAGAGAGGGGCAGAGACATAGGCAGAGGGAGAAGCGGGCTCCCTCTGGGGAGCCTGATGTGGGAGTGGATCCCTGGATCATGCCCTGAGCCGAAGGCAGATGCTCAACTGCAGAGCTACGCAGGTGTCCCAAGGAGATGTAGTTTAAAATTAGGTAATGACTAGACTGGATTCAGGTTAAATGTTTCTGGCAAGGATATTTCAAAGGTTAAGTTGTATACTTCATGTTGTAAGCAAGTAATGCTAGTTATTACTCATTGGCTGACACTAAATTTGATTGCCCATCTCTTTAGCATAAAGGGACATTATTTCTGATAATTGGCAGGTTATTTCTGTTCCTCATTAACTTTACTAAGTGGTGTTATCATCATTGATTCTTGCCTGGATTAATTTACATCATGGATTGCAAAAAGGTAGTATTATAATTTTACTATTCCTTTTCCTTATTAGCTCTATTCTCCTGTAAAGAATAGCTTTTTATTTCTTTTCAGTTCTATGGACACATGGATTTTTATTTATTTAGTATGTTACCATCACTTTTTTTTTGTACTCCAGATTCACTAAATTGGCCCAGCAGCAGCCCCTTCTGGATGGTCTCTGTGATCTTGTAACCTGACTCTAGTCCTTTAACACTTCTTGCTTTTTCTGACCAAAGACAGCATTTTAGGCTCACTTAGAATTTTCAGACCACAAAACTAAAATCAACTTGTTCCGTAGGGAGCATTAGTTCCTTTTACTGGAGAATGGTGCTTAAAACCAAGATTTAGGCTGTAGGTGTGCTCATTGCTGTTGGGGTATCATTTCTTTTGGTGGAAAAAGCTAGAAATACATTTTTAGTAGTAAACTAATATTGGTATTTTTATTTTTTATCTTTTTATTTTAAAAATATTTTATTTATTCATGAGAGACACACGGAGAGAGGCAGAGGCATAGGCAGAGGGAAAGCAGGCTCCCTGTAGGGAGCCTGATGTGGGACTCTATCTTAGGACCCTGGGATCACACCCTGAGCTGAAGGCAGATGCTCAACCACTAAGCCACCCAGGTACCCCAATACTGGTATTTTTAATTAAAAGCAATATTTAGAGTTTTAAAATATCTTTTTGTTTTATATCTTTTGAATCTTAATCATAATATATACTCGTTTGCTTTGCCTTACAGTATATATAAAGTTATTTCAAAATTAAACTTTTAATATTTTACATACCAGCTAGCCTTCTGAGTGAAGTTTAAGGCTCTCAGAATTTTTGCATAATGTTATCAGCAGTCATTACTAACATGGTCACCATTTATCGATCATTTACCATTAGCACAGTCATTATGCTAAGTGTACTTTGCCCATGTTCACATAGCAGCAAAGAGGCAAGGCTGGGATTTTAATCTTGGTCATTACATGATTATGTTATCATCAGTAACCCCTTGCCATGTACATTCACAGCTATCTCTTACATACCAGTCTGATGCCAAAAATTACTTGTTGGTGGAACAAGTAGGTATGCAGATTTCCTTAGTGAATGAATGACTTTAATTCAATTACAAATAGTAATTATTAAATTAGCAAGGTTTGAAAATTAGGAAGAATTTAATATTTATCTATACGAATACATTTCTGAAGATTAGCAGTAGGAAATGAAAATGTGTTAAGAGCACCTTAACAAAAACCAGAACTATTTCTTTTCATATATGTGTCTTTACTTGTAAATGATACCATGTTGTTCAGACTTGGAAACATACTCATTTTGGAATGAAGTTCCTGCCAAAATAATAAAAATTGTAAAAAAATATATGGGCAATAAAAAACTTGAGGTCTTTAATAAAGTGCTCATTCATAGGATTATGACTCCAGAGATTTACTACTGAAAAATACTGTCATGTGGTTTTAGTGACACATTAATGACTTTAGGAAGGGTCTTCATAATGCTTTCTAAAGCTCTATTTTTGAGCTAGGAAACTTGCTTTATTAGTGAAGCCCAGAATGACTTCAGAAGTAGTAGTATTTGCAGGCTGGGGTGCCATTTTTACGAAACTCAACTTTTGTCAGTTTTCTTAATTGCTCTGTTCACTTAATGACTTTTACTTTATGAAAATTTCCCAAGTAAAAATCAAGATGATTTATTATATGTATGGAAAATATATTACTTGAAAATCTTGAGTTAATATTGAAATATGTTTTAACAACTATCAAAGATTGGCACTTTTTCTTTCAGTTATTTTGAAATAATCTAGTATTGAAAAACATAGGCACTTTCCTTACACAAGCCACATGCACTTTCTATAGACTGTACAAGTTCAGATCAGCAGATCAGAAACTAAACTTACTTATGGGATTTCAGACAGCTTCATTTCTTTCTTACTGCTCACATTTCCTTTAATTCTGCTAGCTAGCATTGAAGCTAAGAAAGAATACTGGTTTTGGAGTCAGGCAGGTCTGGTTTGGAAGGATGTCCCTTTTGCTTTTTTTGGTTTGTTACTCTAAAGTAGTGAATGAAAGAGAGAACAGAATGAAACAGTTAACAGGGAGTAGAGGGGTTAAGAGTCTAGGCTGTCAGGTTTTTATCCAGAATCATTTGGCTGTGTGATCTGAGGCACATGACCTTACCTCTTGGAACCTCAGTTTCTTGTCTGTAAAATAGAAAAATAATTTAAGGATCTATCTCTTACAATTATTCTTAGCATTGCATGACATAACATACATGAAGTAGTCAGGACATGCCCATCACATAATTGATGATTAGTGTTTTTATTTCCTTTTTTTATTAAAGATTTTATTTATTTATTCATGAGAGACACAGAGAGGGTGGGGGAGAGACACAGGCAGAGGGAGAAGCAGGCTCCATGCAGGGAACCTGACGTGGGACCCGATCCCGGGTCTCCAGGATCAGGCCCTTGGCTGAAGGCAGCGCTAAACCTCTGAGCCACCTGGGCTGCCCTATTTCCTTTTCCTACTTATGTACTTTTACTTAGGGATCCAAAGAAAAAATTATTTTAAGGGTACGGGCATATGGAAATAAGTTCCTGGAAGTGAGGACTTACTAGGATAAATTACTAAAGGAATAGAAGATCTCTTTACTATCCTAGATTCACGACATTGGAAGTGACCTTAAGGCCTTTTAGAATCTAGATCACATAACCCTGTATGTGAAATCAGAATCTTTAAAATGTTACTGTCTAGCTAATTTCCAGCCTTCCCTTAAACTCTTCCAGAGACAGGGAACTCACTACTGGACAAGGAGGTCTATATTCTCTCTATAGTTCTTCTTCTTTTTTAAATATTTATTTGAGAGAGAGAGAGAATGTGTGGGAGGGGCAAGAGGGAGAAGGAGAGAGAATCCCAGGCAGACTCTGCATGGAGCTAGGAGCCCAGATGCAGGGCTCGATCCCATGACTATAGATCATGACCTGAGCCAAAATCAAGAACCGACTGCTCAACCCACTGCAGCCCCCAGGTGCCTTGCCCCTCTCTGTGTAGTTCTAATTGTTTGACAGTTCTTCATTATAGCAAGTCAGGATCAGCATCCCTATAATTTACATCCTCATCCTGGTTCTTCCTTAATGAAACTTCATAGAATAAAATAAAATTTCTTTCTTATGGCTAACTTTAAAGCATTTGAAGCCATTTATCATGGATTTCTAAGTCTTTTCTTTCAGTTAAACAGCCTGTATTTTTCAGACTTTGAACCTTCTTTCTTATCATCTGTGTGAGGTTGGGAAAATTCTAGCCTCTGGGTGAGGAATTAAAACGAAAATAAACACTAAAATAATATCTGCTCATATTATAAAACATTAAACTGTTATAAGACTCTGAAGTAAAATTTAAAACCCTCTCTGCTTCCACTTCTAGCCTTACTGGGGCATTCATGTCTTAGCTTCTGATAGTTACCACTGAGACTTTTAAAGGAATACATTTCTATTACTGATTCACCGACGTGAGATAGTAGTTTTAGACTTTTTGCTACAGTGTTAGAGGAACTTAATGCCTCTTAGTTTTTTACTTCCCTCTCTACTTCCCTTTATTTTATTATTGTATTTACATTGTCAAGGTTTGTAATATTTACATTTTGTTTTATAATTATAATTGAGTCTTCCAAGCTTTGCCTTAGGTTCATTCTATGCATTTAAAATAAATAAAAATAGTATTTTAGATAACACAATTACAATAAATATTTTTATTACAGCTTTAATGCTAGCATGTGATGCTGAATCCATTCCATTTTGACAACGTCCCTCTTAAAATTTCCAGCTGGGAACTGTCCATGGTCCTCCAGGCACACTGACCAGTTTAGGGCAGACTGTTTTCAGTATGGTAGTGAAGCCCAGGAACTCGTTGGCCTCATGTGCAATCAAATTCGTTGTCAACTTGTGTTGTGTTTGTCAATAACAGGAATTTCAAATTTAAGTTGAATTCTTAGTATTTTCAAAGGTTGATGATGCTAGTGGGACAGCCTAAGGGGTGTATGTGTATGTGTGTGTTCCTATCACAATTGACTCAGCACTTCATTTATTCTTAAAGATTTTGTTTATTTATTCATGAGAGACACATACAGAGAGAAGCAGAGACATAGGTAGAGGGTTATGCTCCCTGCGGGGAGCCCAATGTAGGATTTGATCACAGGACCCCGGGATCACGACCTGAGCCAAAGGGAAACGTTCAACCACTGAGCCACCCACCTGTCCCACATATCAGTGAATATTTGTGTAGTATCTAATTTTTTGCTGTATTTTAATGGAAGAGCTTTGCAAATATGTCATTTTCCACATTTAGTAATCCATCCTACAGATCTATTCTTGGACCACAGGGTATGTGCATATTCTATTTTGGTAGATGTTTTTTTTTTTTTTTTGGTATATGTTTATACCAGAATAACACCTATTCACATTCCCACTAACAATGTATAAGAGCACCTATTTGGGCAGAATTTCTAAGTTTATTTGTTAATTTTAACTGCAGTAGGTAAAAGTAATCAACTGGTTTTTAATTTTATAAAATTTGTCTAGGGTTGGATGAATTAAACTCAAGCTGGAGGTTTTCCACTGGATGATAATTAATCATGTATTTTTGAGAGGCAGTTTGATCTCAGGCCTATCCAAATCCACATAATAGTTAGCACCATTAAAATAGGAAATGATTGCATTAAAAAACAAAACAAAACCTTTGAATGGTTTCATCACTTAATGGATTTTCGTTGGGAATTGATAAAGACATGCATTTAATTGGGAAGGTAAATTGAATGCCTTAATCATATTATTTACAACCGTTTTTGTTAAAAGTAATTGTGAAGGGAGGGTCATTATTCATTTCTTGCATTTGGTAGGTCTAAAGCTAAAGACAAATGAAAAGTTAAAAAATTTTGTTTACCAGGTGATCCTTATCACTATCTCTATAAGGGCTGTCCTTTTTTGCAAATGTGATTTCCTATGTGGAGGTCAGCCCTGATTTTTGCTCTGAGGGAGCTACTTGTTTCTTATTCTGTGTGTCAGTCTGGTCTGACAACAGTCTTCAGGACCTGGCCAGTGATACTGATGTCACATTACTTGAGTGTATCCTTGAGGTAGCCATGCAACCAGATTCCACTCCAGCACTGTCTCTGCTAGCTCTGTGGGTAATTGCATTTGTAGTCTGAGGACATCTGTTTCCAGCAGATCGGCTTAGTGCTTCTAAATCCTGAATCACTTAATCAGAGCACTGAGGAAACAGCCATCCCTAAGGCCTTGTCAGTGGCTTCCAAGGCCTGTACTGCATGTGAGAAGCACCATACAGTTCATTGGGCTGAAACGTGCCCAGAAAAGAAGTCTGGCCTGCTGCCATGTGCCTTTGTATTTTATGCCCACACATGCATTTTCTGATTTTTAGCAGTCGTAAGGGTTTCTGCTTTGGATTTGTTAGGGAGTGTCATGTTTATTGGTCTCTGGGCGGAGCTGCCAGTTGATTAGTACACTCCAAACTGACAATCTATAGTACTCAAATGAATGATATATTTTTTTGTGTGTGTATTTTGAGGATCTTTTGTACTTAGTCAAAAATGTCACTCTCTGGGTCATGGAAACTTGTCTTTTGCATTAGGGGTCTTCTCTCCATAAAAGTTAATATATAATATTCTAGAGCTTTAAGGGGATTAGTATTAATTTTCATCTTTATATCATTGAATTTGGAACCTTGAGTTTTCTAACCGCATGTTAGATGGTCGTTTCTAAGTGAAACACGGGCCTAATTTATTATCATTAGTACGGATCCTGGTTACTTGAATTGAGTAGCTATTGTATTACTCTCCGAAAAGAAATCTGTAAAGTGTTAAAATATTGTATTTGGGATAAAGTGTCCTTGACTCTACTTCGAGGGCCGTGATTTAATTAGCAGCAGTGGGGCTTCTCTGCAAAGATGACTGGTATCGAAAGGGAATGGCGAAACTGGGAGCTGCTGCCAGGACTTGAGCAAAGCATTTCACAAAATAGGTTCCACAATTAGTTTAGCCATTACTTTTCTGAAGGCCAGGCTTCTCTAACTTACCTATCCACACTCGATGACTTTTATTTCAAATTGATGCCAGAGACTCCTTGATTTAAAAAAAAAATCACCAGAAAAAAGGTAAGATATTCTCTTTTTATAAAATAAAAAGTAAAGAAGTAGCATTTTAAGGAACGTCTTTCTTGTCTCCAAGCTGTTGGTGGAGATAAATTCCTTTTAAAGTCCAGTTCTGGTGCAAAAGGGATGAGTGTATTTTAACTGGCAGCCTGAAATGTTACTGGCCTGTTTAGAGGTAGAATCTGTTATTCAAAGATATTTGACCCTAACATGCTCTTTTAAATAAAAATTTTATTTATTTATTTATTTTTTTGCCAGCTAACTAGGCTACAATACTGTAGCAATGCTGGTTAAAAAGTTACTTATTCTTACTTAATGTGAACTCATGTATTTTAAAAATTGATATCAACAAGTTTTTTAAAACTATTTTTAAATATTTTATTTACTTATTTGAGAGAGAGAGACAGAGAGAGCATTGAGAGAGAGAACAGGAGCAGAGGGAGGGGCAGAGGGAGAAGCAGACTCCCTGCTGAGCTGAGAGCCCAATGCAGGGCTTGATCCCAGGACCCTGGGAATCATGACCTGAGCCTAAGACAGATGCTTAACTGACTGAGCCACCCAGGTGCCCCTTTAAAATTACTTTTAAAGATGTCCCTTTTATGCCTCTTTTGACCATTCTAGATTATAGTAAATAGAAGTAGGTGCACAGGTAGCCTCCTTTATGCCTTTCATTTATTTTTGTGAACCTAACAATACACATTATATTCTTTCAATGTAATAATTCAATAATAATTCTTTCAAATTATTATTTTTGGTGTGGTACTTTATTTCCCTCCACTTTTAATTCTCCCACCCACCAAATGGCTGGATATTTCTGTATCTTTTCTTTAGGTTCTATCAGTTTTATGAGACAAGGAGATACACAGTAAGTGAGTATTGAAAGAAAGATATGATTCTCCTTTATGCACTGATGTTTTTATGAAAATGCCACCCTATTACTTAGAATAGTGTTAAGGAGGCATCTTTCTTTAAACAATTTTTAGTGTGTAGGACTTTTAGTAGGTAGGACTCTAAGGGTTTATGGTTTATTCAGAATCAATTTCCATGTATATCAAGCTTTAGAGAAGATAATTCTTTTTTTTAAGATTTTATTTATTTATTCACAAGAGACACACAGAGACAGGCAGAGACATAGGCAGAGGGAAAAGCAGGCTCCCTGCAGGGAGCCCGATGCTGTACTTGATCCCTGGACCCCATGATCAGGATCTGAGCTGAAGGCAGACACTTAACCACTGAGCCACCCAGGTGCCCTAGAACAGATAATTCTGTAAACATTTCTATCTGTGGATTGCCTCTACCAGCATGCTAGTCAGCGATATGTTTTTATTAACTCTTTCTCAAGGTCCACACAGAAGAGGGTTATATGTCAGTTTCCTTCTTTTCCTAGCCATGATTTTATATCCCTTCTCTTTCCTAGGCACCTAAGTTTACCTGACATAGCCTTTACAATTCAATAACTTTATGATGAGATGGTGGGGAACTTACAGTTAAACTGGGAATGTAGGGGTGCCTGGGGGGCTCAGTTAAGCATCTGCCTTTGGCTCAGGTCATGATCTCAGGGATCTGAGCTTGAACCCCATATCAAGTTCTCTCCTCACTGGGGAGCCTACTTCTCTCTCTCCTCTGCCTAACACTCTGCCTACTTGTGCTCTCTTTCTCTCTGGCAAATAAATAAATAAAATTTTAAAAAGTAAACAATGTAATGAAGTTAATCCTTACTCCTTGAAGTCTGTAAGCAAGGTAAATGAGAAGCAAATGCAGGTGTCCCTCAATGGTCGCTAATATTCCTGTCTTCACTATCTGTAACTGTTTCAGGACTTGCTCAATGCTGTAGAGACAAAGGAAGCTCTTGAGATGGAAGTTAGGATCCTCCAAGAGAGGCTGCTCGCTGGCCAGCAGGTCTGGGATGCTTCAAAGCAGGAACTGAACCTCTTGAAGAAAAGGTCTTGTGAGTTGGAGAAGAGTCTAGAGGCCAGCGTGGATGCGGCTGCAGCCTCGCGAAGCCAGTACTTCTCATTTAGGGAGAAAGTCGCAGCCCTGCTTAGAGGCAGCTGGGGCACGACTGGGCCAAAGGAGGATGCCATTTTGGAAAGGATCCGAGAAATGACCAGCCAAGAGGAAAGCAGGAAAAAGGCGAGTGGGAAATGGCCACTTGTAAGATTCTTAAGGACAGTAATTTGCTGTAGCATTTAAATGTGGTTTTCATTACTTTATTTTTTTAAGATTTTATTTATTCATGAGAGAGAGAGAGAGAGAGAGAGAGAGAGAGAGAGAGAGAGGCAGAGACATAGGCAGTGGGAGAAGCAGGCTCCTTGTGGGGAGCCTGTTGCGGGACTTGATCCCAGGACTCTGGGATCAGGACTTGAGCCAAAGGCAGATGGTCAACCACTGAGCCACCCAGTGGTTTTTATTACTTTCAATTATATATCATATTTAGGGAGCCTAGAGAGTCACTTAAGTGACAGCTGACTACGGAGGAGGGTTCTGGAGTCAGAGCTACCTGTGCTGAATCCTGTCTCTACTGCACTCTTGCTCATGCCAGGTGTGACATGGACAGGTTCCTAAGACGACTGCCCCTGAGATTCTGTATTCTAATCTACTGGACAGAGAAGGCTTTGGGGCCACACTCCTCATCTGAACCCCCTGGGGTGCAATGTGTTTTTGAATTTAGAATTTTTCAGGACCCAGAAAGGTAAAATAATAACACAGAATGGCAATGGTGGAAACGCTCTTGCACGTTGCCCCTCGGTGGGGTCTGGGGCAGCACTCCATACTCAGCCACATTCATCGTTCTGCAGCCAAACCCGTGGCAACTCCATCACACGAATGTAGCGGGACTGAAGAGGTTCCTGTCATTTCGGGTCAGGCTTTGCTGCCAAACCCTTTATCAGAGAGTTATGAAAAAGCCATCAGTTTTCAGATGCATTTGAATTTTGGAATTGCAGATAAGATACTCATAGACCTGGAGGAGTACCTGTTTTGCTAGGTTATTGTTTATTGAAAATATTAAATAAAAAAATCGTTAGGAAGTCCTTAACACACTGCCTGGCCAATAATGATGATAAATTTAACTCTTGCTGCCCCTGCTTGTCCTCCTCTCTCTTCTCCTCTTTGTAATGGTGCCTGAACAGCCTTTTCAGGAAGTTATTTAACATGTGGAGAAAGATGTTTTAATTCACGTATATGACTGAAGATTGTAGAATTTTGTTATCTCGTTTATACTATTAATAATGCTTCTTTACTCTATAGCTTTGCTTAGCAGAGTCAACTTCAGCCTGACTCTGCTTAAATGACCATAAAATCCAAATTATTGAAGTCCTAATTAATGAGTTTTTAAAGTAAATAATACCCAATTCAATAATACCCAAGTAAATTATACCCAATGGTATAATTCCATTGTGATCAATTTCTTCTCTGAGTTCATGCTGGTTTGAAGGAGAAACTGTTTTTTTTTTTTTTTTCCTCTCTCTTTTGATGTTTCTAATATACCCAGAGCAACCACTCACTCAGAGTTTGGGATTGCATTTGACAATATTTAATGATCAAATATTTTAAATTCTCTTTAAAAATTCTCTGAAATTTGGGGTGCCTGGGTGGCGCAGTTGGTTAAATGTCCAGCTTTTGGTTTCGGCTCAGGTCGTGATCTCTGGATCATGAGATTTAGCCCTGCATGGGGCTTCCCACTCAGCACAGAGCCTGCTTAAGTCTCACTTTCTCTCTCTCTGTCTCTCTCTCTCCCACGCCCCCGCCCCTCCCCTCATGTGTGCGCACGTGCACATGCTCTCAAATAAATAAATCTTTAAAATTCTTTTTCCGAAATTCATGTATATTCTTAGGAGCAACCCAAGTGACCCTTTGACTAGCAGTTGATGTACGTCAATCGCTAATGGTTCTTTACCATTTCGTTTTATTGCTTCCCTCTTCTGTTTTCCCAAAATTATTTTAATTCAGCATGTGAAACATGGCATAAAATTGTCAGCATGATGTATGTGTTTATTTTCTAAAGTAAATGATGTAAATTGGTTAAGCTGGCTATGCCTCCCCCAGCCCCCCATAAAAATCAGAATGATTCAGAGTCTTTTTAGTGTCTTTGTGTGCCTTTTCTACCATGTAATTTTTTTCAATAGCTCTTCTCACTATTTAAAAGCCTGAAATCAAGCATATAGCTGAGGTCTTGTGTGACTCATCTTCGAGTGAAATCAGGAGAAAATGGATTTCATATATTGTCTGAGAAATGTTTCCGCAGAATGGGAGCTCTACAGATGGATGAACCTGTTTGTTGAGGAGGCTGTGCACCCCTGCCAGCTGTCATGGTTAAACGCACACCCAGCGGTTGAGTAATGCCCATGGGAATGCCCAAGGCTGAGTTTAAGCTGGGCCTGACAAATTCGTGGCTTCAGGTCAACTCCTACTTTCTGAACCTTGCTATTCTTGTTTACCTAGTTGCTACTCATTCTGATTCCCCTATGTTTGCAATTCTCAGAATTCGGACACCACCCAGACTTTTTCAATTGGTTTTTTCTGCTTAGAGCAAAACCACATTCTCTTTTTAAAAGCTTTACTAAATCTTAGCACTATTGACATTTCAGGTTGGATGATCCTTTGTCAGGGTCCCATTCTGTACATGGTACGCTATTTAGCAGCATCTCTGGCATCTACCCACTAGGTATCAGTAGCACCACTTTTCCCCTCAATTTATGACAACCAAAAATGTCTCCAGATAAATATCCTCAGACAGTAGAATTGCCCCCACTTGGAAACCACTTTTTTCGAGGAATGCCCTACTGTTAGGTTCCTAGCAATTTTAAATGAGCATAGATGTTATTTAGCCTTGAAATTTCAGTACATTTTGTAACAGGTGTTTTTGAAATGATGATGTCTTGCACAATGACAGAAAGTTGCGACATTTTAGTGTGCAATTGAGGCAAACATTTTTGTCTTCCTTTTAGATATTTCCTAATTGGCTAATTCTCTGGATGAGAAATGATTATGTACAGAAAGTACATGGCCATGATTGATTTCTATGTCATTTCCTACGTTAAAGAATTCATGCAAGCTCACAAATGTTTATCTACATGGCTCTTTTGTTCTTCTTTAGGCACACATAGGGCTTTATTTCCCCCACTGGAGTGTTTCTTGGTCCAGTGGCTCTGTGGGAGCTCTAGGGACCCAGCCTGATGCCTTAAAGGACCAGAGATGTGTTCCACCTCCTCCCCCTGCTTCCCTCGTTTGTTCTGATCATTCTGCTATGTTCTTAATCCTTCAATACCAGCTTTGGTGGACTCCCACTGACATTTCATTGCTCCAATTTATGTGACGTGGTCACACCTGGCTACAAGAGCATCTGGGAGAGTGAAAAGGTAGAGATTTTGGCTCTCCTAGCATCTACAGTGTAGTAATTTCCTAGGATGGCCATAACAAAGTCCCACTTACTTGGTGGCTTACACAATAGAAGTGTATTGTCTCCCAGTTCTGGAGGCTACAATTCTAAAATCATGGTGTCAGCTGGATTGGTTCCTTCTGAGCCCGTGAGAGAGAATCTGTTCCAGGCCCCTTGCCTAGCTTCTGGTAGCCTCAGGTATCCTTGGCTTATGGGTGGCATTCTCTATCTTCACATTATTTCCCTTCTATTTGTATGTGTCTCTGTGTCCAAATTTTTCCTTTTGTATAAGGACCCCAGTCATATTGCATTAGGGCCCAGCCCTGTAAAGACTCTATTTCCAAATAAGGTCACATTCTGAGGTACCCAGGGACTTGAACGTACCTCTTTTTTGGAGGACCCCATTTAATCTGTAATAAAAGTTGACATGCACAAAGATGAAGGGAGTAGGGATAGCATGTCAGTAGGGCTGGCCATATAAACTGATATGAAGGAAGGAGAATTTGATTGATGTTTTATTGCTGGGTTCTGACAACATATTTTATATATTTCCTAAGTAAAAATTATAGCTTGAATAATAAAAGAGTTTTTTGTCTAAAAGCCACTGTCTTATGCTTCCATTTGGCTTAATTTTAGGACAAAAGTGCCTTTCTTGTGAAATTGACAACTACTTGTCCTTGGGAAGTGGATTCTTTTAGGGCATTATGACTTGACTTCCAAAAACCAGTCTACTTGTTTTTTTTTTTTTTTTAAGATTTTATTTATTCATGAGACACAGAGAGAGTGGCAGAGACAGGCAGAAGGAGAAGCAGGTTTCTCGCAGGGAGCCTGATACGGGACTTGATCCCCAGACCAGGATCACGCCCTTAGCTGAAGGCAGACACTCAACCCATGAGCCACCCAGGCATCCCAAGTCAGCTTGTTTTTGAAATATGATTTACTTCAGTGTCTTTTTTGTTTTTTAAAAAATGAAGTATGTTTTCTTTATTATAATTCCCCTCCCTGCCTTACATCGCTAGTATTGAAATCCTTTACATATTTTGTCCCATGGAATATCAGGGATGTATTAACAGATGATACTGAGAAAAAGAAGAAAAATAAAAGGAAAGAAAGAAAAGGTTACTGTCCTTTGGAGTTCTTGGTGTGAAAAACACAACGCAAAAACAATGCAACGTGTTTTGGCAAGACTTGTATGTTCACCCAGGCACTGACATTTGATGTTCCCAAGGATGAAGTCAGATTGGAATGTTAATTTATTTGAATAAATTTATGTAAATTTATCTCTGAAAAAAGATGCTGTGATATTACATGTACTGAGACCTAAATAAGCTTAGTGCTGGGATGCATAGAAAATGAAGAGCTTCTCAGCTGTTTGCTCTTCTCTGGACACCAGAATCTTGGCAGGGCAGTTTGTAGATTCTGCACTGTTCAGCCATCCCCGTACTGGTGGTTTTAAAAGTTATACTCTGCTGAGTCTTCAGGTTTTGTGGAACACTCTTGGGTCCACACAGAGTGGGGATACAGGAGGAACGCTTTCATCTTTGATTTAGCACATTGTCCCTTATTTGTCACTGCTCATTTGTTTTTACTTGAAAAACAGGCTCTCTAGGCCATAAATGGTTTGAGAAACCTGACATAGGACAATTCCTGAAGGGCCCCTTTAACTCCCTATGACAAAAGCATAGGATTGACTGAACCAGCATACTGGCATAGTAATGCTGATGATAAAAAGGGATGCAGTGTGTTGAACTTCAATTGGGTGTAAAATACTGTGCTACTCAAATGATCTAAATTATCATCTGATCAAAAAAAATTATAATCTGATCATCATGGCAAAGACACAGTTTCAGAGAGGTGATTTACTTGCTTCAGTTAACATGCTGGTGAGTAGTAGAGTGGGAAGGAACTCTGGACTGGGACTATCTGACTCCAAAGACACCATGCTGCAGTCTGGTCTCCATCGAGACATCTTTTTTCTTCAGGGTCATTACCACTTTCTTAGCCTAACTTCCTGCAGGTGCCTAAGGGGTCATCTTCTTAATGGAGTCTTTACTGATCAGTTTCTATGATAGGCACTGCTTTCCTCAGGGAAGGTCCTTTGCGTGTGGATGGTGGTGCAGTGGTCACACGGTCCTCTGTCTCTCTAGCTGAGGCTCCCTGTGTCTCTTTTTTCTTTGGTTTCATTCTCTTTGTTAGGTTGGCTGTGAGATACGAGAAGTATTGAAGGACCTTCAGGTGGAAAGACTCACTTCCTCCTCGTGGAATATGAAACCACATTTCCTACTGTGCAGAATCACGGGCCATACCTTGTGTAACATAACATCATTAAACAGTCCCCGGTACCCCAAGACAGTATCTTGGGAGTGTTTTTTGATGGCTGTTGTTTTGTAGGTTACTTTGTATATTGTACCAAGACAAGCACACCTTTCTCTTGCATTAAGATCATATCTGTTATTAGGAAGTGCGAACAGTAGGAAATATGACATGAGGGTTCTCTGAGGCTCATATTCTGTAATTAAATTTGAAATTTCCTTGGAGAATATAATTCCTTGGATTTGATGCTAACAGCTTGCCATCAAATATTTTATTTCAAGCCCCAACAGAAGTGTAGAATTAATTGAATTATAGGCCTGGGACCTTGAGAGCCATAGAAGCACAGGATTAGAGCATTTAGAGATCCAGTAGTATACCATTCCTGATTGGAGCACTTCAGTTCTCTCCATAACACTGTTAACACATGGTTGGCCAGTTCCTACCATCTCTGGTGACTGGGAGTCCACTAGCTGACATGGGAAGATGCTTAAAATAATGAGGTAAACACAGACATAAAATTGCAAATATAGTATCTTAACTCTGTCTTAACAGCGCATAAACAAATTTAAATACCTTTTTTTTTTTTTTAGGGTGGGAGGGAAAGAGAGAGGAAAGGGAGACAGAGAATCTTTTTTTTTTTTTTTTTGAGACAGAGAATATTAAGCATAGATCCTGCTTAAGATGTGGTATTGGATCTCACAACCCTGAGATCATGACCTGAGCTGAAATCAAGTCAGATACTTAACCAACTGAACCACCCAGGCATCCTATTTGAAAACATTAATAGTTGTTGCTTCTGGGTGGAGATTATTATTTTTTTATTTATATATTTTTTTATCCTTAATGAATCTTTTATAGTGGGCATGTATTACTTTGTAATTATGGGGACCAGGAGAAATTCTTCCTTATATTGAAGTGGAATCATTTCTCTGATTTCTGTCTGTTGGTCCTTAACTTAAGCTCTGAGGGCAACTCAGAACAAACCTTATTGTTCTTCCATATAATAGCCTTTCAAAATATTTGAGGATGGCTTGAGTGTTTTCTTGCTTTTAAAAATGGTTACTGATAGGGTGCCTGGCTGACTTAGTTGGGAGAGTGTGCAGGTCTTGATATCAGGGTCATGAGTTTAAGCCCCACATTGGACATGGAGCTTACTTAAAAAAGAAAAATGGTTACTGATAGGTAATCAGAATTTTTTTGAAACTGAAATTGTAAACCTGAAACCATCAAGATATTTCAATTTTTGTAAGAATGGTCCTGAGTATTATGTAAATATCTTTTTTCTTTTCCTCTTTTGAAACAAACCATCAAAACAAATTTTATCACCCCAAACTGGTGTTTTTATTGAATTCAGTGTTTCATAAAAACTGGATTTGGTAGAATCAATTCTCATGAGTATTCTCAGAGTGTACCTGAGATGTTTGGTAAACTAATGTTCTTCATTAAGGGAAGATGGGTGCAAAAGAGAAACTTCAGGAAAAGGTGGAAGCATTGGGCAAGTTAGGGGTGTGTGAAGAGGATTGGGACTTTTAATGGAGAAACTGTGATTTCATTTTGTAGGAAAGGAGGTAGTAATCAGATTCTCCTGCCTTCTTGTATGTAGAGTCGCTGTATTAAATGTGACCTTTCAAGTGCTAAAATGATAATATCACTACATAAATACGCAGCTCAGAGGTAGCACCACTGAAGTTTGGTGTGTGAATAACCAATATTCAATGGAAATTGAAAAGGCTTGAAAAATATCTTTATGCATTTGAATTCCTGATAAGTTTACTATCAGAATGAACTCACTGTATAACCTTTAATACAGTATATATGGTGGAAGATTTTTTTCTGGAGAATGACACACGGGTTTAAAAGCACTTTCTGTCTGAACTTCTTATTCTAGCTAAGCTTTGAAACTCTTAAATTAATGGCAGTTTAGGAGTAAGTAAATATTATCCATAAATATTTATTGAGTAACCTGTTTAAGAAATTATATAAAAATAAAAAATACCAATAAAATATTTTGTTAGATAATGAATGCAGATTTCTTTTAAGGAGAGGCAAATACAGCTATCACATTACCTGTTTTTTATTAAAATTTTACAAAGAATCTGGAAGTTGATGTTATAAATAGTTATGTTGCTTGGTCTGAGCGCTAGATTTTAACACTTTGTTGCATCTAAAACAAGGCTTATCCTTGTCTGTTTCTTTGTTTCCAGATGGTCTCCCAGCTTGAAGCCCAAATATCTGAGCTTGTTGAACAGTTGGGAAAGGAGTCTGGGTTTCACCAGAAAGCTCTACAGAGAGCCCAGAAAGCAGAAAACAAGTTGGAGGTTCTTCAGGGTCAGCTGACACACCTGGAGGGAGAGCTGGTTTCTGGAGATGTTTTGCGAGATAACTTGAATTTTGAGAAACAAAAAGTAATAACCTGAGGGTACATCCATGGGTAGAAAACAGCTGTTGCATTGTAAAATTTTACCTGAAAATATTATAAATTTATAGTACTTTAGTAGAATGGTTACATCTGAGTAATGAGTAAATGTCAAGGAACAACAGATATTGTCTTGGGGTGTCTTCCTATTATTGGGGTCTTTCTTGAGTCAAAATAATCCAGTTAAAACTCAGCAGATATTTGTTGCTTATTCTATATGAGACCCTGAAGGTCTGAGGGCTGATGTATGAATAACACAGAGTTCTTGATCATTAAAGGCTCATAATTCAATAGAGACAGACATATTAGTTTGCTGTGGCTATAAAGCTGTATGTGTTGTAAGATGTATTGATTGATGACATGCTATAGGAGCTCAGTGAAGGGATTGAATACTTCTGGATAAGAGGAGGATTTTTACAGGAGAGAGAATAATGAAGTTCATCTTTGAAGAAGTAGGATTTTAGTGGGGGGAGGGAGCAGATTCTGAAGGGCAAATTGTTTGAGCAAAGGAATGAAAGCCTGTAGGTGCATAGCACAGTCAGTCCAGAGCAATTGTTCTAGTTTGGCTGCAGCACAGCACTCTTCATGGGGCTGTGGCAGGAGAGAAGGCAAGAATGGTTTGGATTATGAAGATTCTTTATTCTCTGCTTTGTAAGTGACTTTGAGCATTGTGATGTTTTAGAAAGTTGGCATGATGTCACTGTGAGGCTGAAAGTGCAAACTTTCAGACTCAGAAATGCTAATGGTGCAAACCCAGTGGGTGAGAAGGAGAGAATGAGAAGAGGAGGGATCCCCATGTATTTGACCATGGGAAGATATTCTGTGGCCTTCAAGAGGCCTATCTATCTATCTAGGGATAGAAGGAGAGGGAGGAACAGACAGCTTGCTGAGCAGGGAGCCCTACTGGACTCAGGGCTCAAGACCTGAGCTGAAGGCAGACATGTAACCGACTGAGCCACCCAGGCACACCTGTAGAAGTAGATTCTTATGAAGTCTGGTGACCAGAGAAAAAGAGGCATTAGCAGGAGGACCAAAGAAAGATTTTAATGGATGGAACCGGAAGGTACATATTTGTGGGTCACAGGAGTCTGCAGGGGAAGAAAAAGACAAATGAGATTTCATTTGGCATGAAAAGTGCTCTTAGGTTAAAAAATTTGTACTCTGGAAACTCATTCATTCTCATTTTTGTGTACTTAAAAAAGTTGAGGAAGCATCATGCCTGCATTGAGGGTTGGGCAAAGGCGCAACACATATACCTTATACGAGGCAAAGATGCGTAAGGAGTCTGTAGAAAATCCTAGTCTCAGTGGATGAGACAGGTAAATGAGGACATAATAATTAATTGATGGAGATAGGCATACAAGTCAACAGGAGCTTGGATAAAGTTTCCTATTTGTGTGTGTGATGAAGTAAACCCTCTTCACACAGGAGGCGGCATTCACGAGAGGCTATATTTTTTATTTTATTTTTTAAAAGATTTTATTTATTTATTCATGAGAGACACAGAGCGAGAGGCAGAGACATAAGCAGAGGGAGAAGCAGGCTTCCCATAGGGATCCTGATGCAGGACTCGATTCTGGATCCCGGGATCATGACCTGAGCCGAAGACAGCCACCCAACTGCTGAGCCACCCAGGCGTCCCTCACGAGAGGCTTTAAAGAAGGAGTAGGACTTTGTCAGGCAGAAGAGGTAGGGAAGAGGTTCAAGGTACAGGGAACAGTAGGAGGGATAAAGGAACAGAGGGGTGACAGGGTGCTTGGGAGATTGAACACAATACATGGTGAGGCCAGAGGCATGAGGTAGCTCTAGAGGCCTGAGGTATGGAGGGATAACTGGGATATGGAAGGCTAATTAATTACCCAAGGCTTTATCCTATGAGTGATGAGATGCCATAGAAAGTTTTTGAGTAAAAGAAAGGTTTCTCTGAAGGCAGACAGGCTCTGAGGGTCTAGAGACTAAAGGTAGGGAGCCCAGCTAGGGGATTCTTAGAACTGCAGAATAGAAGATAATAACTATTTGGACCAAATAGTGGTTTTATGAATGAAGGAGCAGATTTGAGAACTTTGGGAGGATGAAGGCTACCTGAAAAAGGTGTGTTGGTTAAAATATTGAGTTTGAAAGGACACGTTGCATCTGAATACAATATGTTAAACTGGAAGAAGTCTGACTGCTGGACTGTCCACCTAGATGTTCCATGAACACCTTGGACTAAACATTTTCCAAATGGAAGTGATCACTTCTCCACAAATTTGTCCCCTCCTGCCTCAGTGATGATGAGGTAATCTGCCTCCAGGTGCTGGAGCTGACAGCCCCAGAGTCATCCTTAGTGCTTTCCTCTTTTTAACCAATTCCTAAACACTATAAATTTCTTCTTAATGTATCTCACATACTCCCTCACTCCCACTGTATATTTATACACTGTGTATTTGCAGTGCTTTGATTCCAAGCATTATGATCACTTCCATGGGCTACAGAAACAACCTTCTAACAGCTCCCCACTGCTGCTGGGGAGGGCTCAATAAGATGTATGTCTCATCTTACCTTTCTCCATCTTAAAACTGGCCAGGGGCTCTCTGTGGTTCTCAGGTTCAGCTACAGATTCCTTCTTTCCATGGCTGAGCATTCTGTGACCTGACCAGTTTGCCTCTTCAGGCTGCCCATCACCTGCCATCTCTCCAGCCCATGATGGCAAACTCAAGGCCTCTGAGAATCATCGGGGCCCCGCAAGGGTGTGTGGTGATTGAGTCCAAAGATATCCACATTCAAATTTGTAAAAAATACTTTCCTGGCCAAAAAGAAAAAAAAAAAAAGAGAGAGCCCCTGTAGCATTACATATTGCATGTTGCTATTCTTTCTGAGAAAATGTCCTTCTTATCTTCTTCAACTGTGGCTGTCCCTTGATGATGTGGCTCCAGTATCACTTCCTCTGGGAGTCCTGTAGAGACTTGGTTCTCCTTTGGGACGCCTGGGTGGCGTGGTTGAGCATCTGCCTTCAGCCCAGAGTGTGATCCTAGAGTCCCGGGATCGAGTCCTGCATCTGGCTCCCTGCATGGAGCCTACTCTCTCTGCCTATGTCTCTGTGTCTCTCATGAATAAATAAATAAAATCTTTTTTTTAAAGATTTATTTATTTGTGAAACACACACACACACACACACACACACACACACAGAGAGAGAGAGAGAGAGAGAGAGGCAGAGACACAGGCAGAGGGAGAAGCAGGCTCCATGCCGGGAGCCGGATGGGGGACTCGATCCTGTGACTCCAGGATCGCGCCCTGGGCCAAAGGCAGGCGCCAAACTGCTGAGCCACCCAGGGATCCCCTATAAATAAAATCTTAAAAAAAAAAAAAAGAGAGAGAGAGAGTCTTGGTTCTCCTTCAGGCAACACACACCTATGTCTATCACAGCACTTTGCCAACTTAAGTCTTCACTGTCCTTTATAAGATTTATTTATTTATTTATGGGGGGGGGGAAGATCGTAAGCATGTGTGTTTGGGGGGAGACGCAGAAGGAGAGGGAGAGAGGGGGTCTTGAGCAGACTCTGTGCTCAGCGTGGAGCCTGTGGTGAGACACAGTTTCACAACCCTGAGATCACCATGGAGTGGAAGCCAAGAGTCAGACACTTAACTGACTGAGCCACTCAGGCCCTCCCCCACATCTTGTATTCAGTTTTTAATTGTTTTTCTCTAGTCAACTCCAAGATTCTTGAGGCCAGGGGAAATATTTGTTTTCTAAGTCTCTCCAGCATTAAGGGGGAAGGGTCAATAAATAGTATTTAAATTATGAAGAAACAGGGCAGCCCCGGTGGCCCAGCGGTTTAGCACCACCTTTGGCCTGGGGTGTGATCCTGGAGACCTGGGATCAAGTCCCGTGTCGGGCTCCCTGCATGGAGCCTGCTTCTCCCTCTGCCTGTGTCTCTGTACCTCTCTCTCTGTGCTGTCATGAATAAGTAAATAAAAATAAATAAATTATGAAGAAACATAATAAAAGGCAGGAATTTTAGGTAGATTGATGTCTCTTTCCTGTTTTTTTTTTCATAGAAATGACTCATTAATTTTAATTGAGATTGTGTCAAAAGAACTCTCAGTTATGAAAGCAAATTATGTAAACAGATTCCATCCTGGTGAATAGTCTGTAGATAACTGTAAACTGAAAAAGCTAAGTTGTACAGAGTTTAGATTTAGATACAGATGATTGAAGTTCACACTGAATAGAATATATTTATCCTAATCTGTGACTCAAAGAAACAAGATGTACAGCAAATCCTTCTAGTAACCCTAGCTTTCTAGGCACAGCCAAGATCCTTGAAATAGGATCTTGTTCTGTGGTGTGTTGGCTTGGACCTTTCTTTATCCTTTTTTGCCTCTTATAGATCCTTGGATGCTAAGTGGATGGGTCACATATAGACATAGCAAAAAAGGCTTTATACCTCCACGTGAAAGGTACTGATTCTATTTTATTTATAAAACAAACAATAGTAGTTATTTTCCGTTCATTCATACATATTAGAAATGAATAATTCCAAGGGCACCTGGGTGGCTCAGTCTGTTAAGCATCTGACTCTTGCTTTCAGTTCGGGTCATGATCTCAGGGTCATGAGTTGGAGCCCTGCATTGGGCTCTGCACTGGATATGGAGCCTGCTTAGGTTTCTGTCTTTCCCCCTCTCTCTGCCCTCACCTCAACTTATATATGGGATCTCTTCCTCTCTTAAGGAAAAAAAAAGAAAATAAATGAGTAATTCCAAGGGGAGAGCTAAGAGCATTAAGAAGTCATAAACTGATAACGTGGAAACAAAAGCAACCTGTGGTCTTGTAGCACAACATGGGAGCCCATGGTCTTATAACACAACACAGTAACCTGCATCTGGTAGCACAGAAAATAAACAATATTTGCTATGGCTGTGCCTCTCGAATAAGAGATTAAATTTTAAATATGCCATTCAGCAAAATTTGAAAATACAATTTCATCTTGATGCCTAAAAGTATAGATAGTTCTGGGCTTCACACTGGCATGCTTTAGTCATCAATAAATTATACTTATTTAAACATATGAATGCCTCAAAAATGCCAGATAGATGAGGATTTACTGCAATGAGAAGAAAGCTCAAAGAACCCAAATCATGAAGTGATGATACAGAAAACTCATTGATTGGTTCACTCATCCAGTAAGCATTTAGGAAGCATTACTCTGTCTGATATGGCCAGATAAACCACAGAAATCAAATGGAGGACCCAAAAAATACTGGTTTGAAGGGATACGTGCACTCTGGTGTTTATAGCAGTGCTATCAACAATACCCAAAATATGGAAAGAGCCCAAATGTCCACTGACTAGTGAGTGGGTAAAGCAGATGTGGGGAGGGGAGTGTGTGTGTGTGTGTGTGTGTGTGTGTGTATGTGTGTGTAGATAATTAAACATGGATGGAACTATAGAGTATTATGCAAATAAGTCAGAAAAGACAAATACCAAATGATTTCACTCATATGTGGAATTTAAGAAACAAATGAACATAAGGTGGGGGGAAGAGAGGCAAACCATCAAACAGGCTCTTAATTATAGAAAACAAACTGAGGACTGCTGGAAGGGAGATGGTTGAGGGTGGGCTAGATGGGTGATGGGCATTACAGAGGGCACTTGTGATGAGCACTGGGTGCTGTACGTAAGTGATGAATCACTAAATCTTACACCTGAAACTAATATTACACTATATGTTAACTAACGAATTTAAAGAAAAACTTGGAAGAAGAAAAAAGGAAATCAAGTGGATAAAGATCCTAGAACAGTTTTGTAATGCTAACCTATTAAAATATGAACCTTGACTTCCTCAATACGGCTCTATTTTATGGTGGTGTTCCTTAAAGTGTGATACATTAAAGATTCTTTTTTTTTTAATTTATTTATGATAGTCATACAGAGAGAGACAGAGAGGCAGAGACATAGGCAGAGGGAGAAGCAGGCTCCATGCACCGGGAGCCTGACGTGGGATTCGATCCCGGGTCTCCAGGATCGTGCCCTGGGCCAAAGGCAGGCGCCAAACCGCTGCGCCACCCAGGGATTCCTACATTAAAGATTCTTAAAGACATTTTCTTTGGTATAGGATTTTAACTTAAAAAAGCAAAAATGTTGTCCACGTGTGTTTTTATGGAGAGCTTTGATTTTGGAGTGATCTGTAGAACCCAAGGAAAGTACAGTGGTGACTGTTGTCATTTTTTTTTTCACATTTGAGGCCAGAGTCCACTTAGGTGAGAAAAATTGCCTTGGAAGATTTGTGGGTGAGTAGATCCCAGGGGCTGGATTAACCTGGAAGAGGCATAGTGACAGCAGCAAGTAGCCTAAACAGAGATGTGTAGATGTAGTCAGGGCAGTGGCAGGATGTTGAGGCTTTCATTACCAAACACTGGGCTCAGGAGCTAAGCTACGTGCTGGGTTTAATGAGACCAGTCTGTAAGCTTCAGATGAAGAGAAGGATGCTGTGAGATCACCAGTTAACTTTGTTTTTGTGTCTCATTTTTATTTTTGTTCTTGGGTTTAGTATCTTAAGTTTCTGGATCAGCTCTCAGAGAAAATGAAACTGGACCAGATGGCTGCTGAACTTGGCTTTGACATGCGTCTGGATGTAGTTTTAGCTCGCACGGAGCAGCTGGTCCGTCTTGAGAGCAATGCAGTTATTGAAAACAAGACACTTGCCTACAATTTACAGAGAAAGGTAGGGGATGTTGAAACTTGCTAGTGTTGATAGAAGGAATTGCTGAGAGACTTAAATATTGAGAAATAATTTACTCCTTCATATTTGCCACTGTAGTTTGGAAACATGCAAATATGTATTTAGAATTAGAGTCTCTGTTCAAGTGTGAGGGATGGTAAGTATATCACCTAAGGTTATATTTGACTGTGAGTAATAGAGACCCCAAATAAAAGTGACTTAAATGACTAGAAGTGGTCCCTTCCCCCACTTCACATAAATTTCTGGAGGTAGGCCTCAGGGTGAGTGCGGTAGGTCTGCTCTGTAAAGTCGTCAAGGGGTCAGGTTGATGCCGGCTCCTTAACCTCTCATCCCTAGGGTGGTCCCCATCCTTATGGTTCAGAATGGTGCCTAGAACCATCATGTCTGTGTTCCAGACAGAAGTTTGGAGAAGGGATGAAGAACAGGATGCGAAAGCATGTGTGAGCTGTCTTTTGACGGAGCCTTCCAAAGTTTGCTATGTGAACTTGTATTTATATTCCACAGTTCCGAAGGCTGAAACTAACTGCAAGGGAAGCTGGAATCTGTCGTCTTTACTCTGGGTAGCCACCTGCCTAGCTAAGAAACTCACTGTTTCTGTTGTTAAGAGGGATGAGGAGAACTGGGGAACATGTAGCAGTTTCCATTTGGATAAACCCTCTTGCTTTGGATAGTAAAGCAAGAAGAGCTTATTTTCCACTCACCCAAAAGAAGAGTTAGAAACAGTTTAGATGAAAGAAATGAATGAGTAGATGAAAAGGATAAAAATATAATTATTAGTTATATAATTATTGGCATTGGTGAAAGAAAGAGCAAAACACAGATGTGTTCTTATAATAGTTCTTAGGAGAAAATTCTATGGTGGAATTATAGTGTACAGGCTGTGTAATGAGTCACATCTGGGACCCCAGTTTGGTTCCACCAAGCTGTGTGACTTTGGGCAAATTATATACCTCTCTGTCTCCTCATATTTAAGATAGTGATAATGTCTTCCTTGTGAGGTTGTTCGTTTTTAATAAAATACATTTTTAAACTCTTGGCTTATAGGTTGTACTATATTCACATTTGACCTACTCTCCATTTATTAGATTTTTAAGAATATTTTATAAAAGAAAGTAGATAACCCCATTACCACCAGAGACATTGAATTGAGCTACAGTTCTTTCAGTTCTCAGATCACTGATTTCTTCCTTGATATCCAACACTGTTCTTTAAGTATTATATAATTATTAAAATTACCAGTGTACAGAACTTACCAGTACAATTTTGTAGGCGAGTGGAATTTGACGCGAAGAAGCTCAAGGAAGGGAACTTGGTTAGAGAAACATGAAAAGGGCTTTGTTGAAGATGGATCTGGGTATAGACCATGCTGTCGTGGTTAGACAAGATCTATAAGCCTGTGTTTCAGTCTGCCCTGCACATCTCTGAACACTTTACAAGTGTGCAGAGTATATAATTAGGGAAAATGCGACAGTCTTATGCTCTAACATTCTAGATTCCAAAGCTTGATGTTTGCAACAGATGAAAGAGGTTTCTGCATTTAATATTCTACTCACTAATTGTGATATTTGAAGCCTAAGAGGGTTTTTTCCACCCTTAGAGTCCATAATCTTTTTCTAAAAACCACTATAATTTCCTTCATCAAGTTTGAGTGTGAATGGTAAGTGCTGTTTGAAAAACTTATTCTCTGCTTGGTTTGTGGATGATACAGGCCAGGCATATAATAAACACCAATTAAAACCTTATTGAAGTCCCTTCTATTTCAGAGTTTTTAAACATGAAACAAAGCTTTCTTTAAATTCTCCCTGGTATTATTTACTTTACAGATATATCAACTCTCATGTTTGGTGTCACTCGGTCTGGACCTAAGGGATTGAAATTAGTCTAGGTTTTTGGTATTAACCTGCACTCTCTCTTCTTTTAAAAAGACTAGTGTGAGTGTAGTTGCCATGGGGTGGTGGAGAGGATTTTGTCTCTCTACCCTATTCTGGTCTTTAGTAGTTTTAAAAGTAATTTTACATGTCTGTTATGATGTACGTAGTGTTGGAAGGAATCACATGTTGAAAGCTTACTTTTTTGTGCATTCTGTGGCTCTTTTGTCTCATCCTTTCCAGCTACAAAATTAATTCTTGGAAAAATAAGAATTAAAAATGCAACCAGGAAAAGAAATCTAATAGCCTTTTTTTGATGGTTTACCAATTAGTCTGATTGAAGTGTAGATAAAGATCAACATTATCTGAGTGATTCATTTATATTTACTGTTCAGTTATTATTTTTTTTAAAAAAGATTTTATTTATTTCAGGGAGAGAGAGGGAGAGCGCATGAGCAGGGGGATGGGCAGAGGGAGAGGGAGAAACACACTCCCCACTGAGCAGGGCTTAATCCCAGGACCCCAGGATCATGACCTGAGCTGAAGATAGATGCTTAACTGACTGAGCCACCCAAGTTCCCCTGTTCAATGATTATTTTTTAAAAAACCCTGTTTATATCAAATCAGCTTAGGACTCAGAAAGAAAGACTGGAGAGCAAAGAACTGCATATGAGCCTCCTGCGGCAGAAAATCGCCCAGCTGGAGGGGGAAAAGCAGGTGCGTTCGGCCCTAGCAGTGGAGAGAGATGAAGCCAGTCTCACCCTAAGAAAGTTGCAGAAGAAGGTGGAGAGGCTGCAGAAGGAACTGAGTGTGTGTCGAGAAGCGAACACGGAGCTCAAAGCCAAGCTGGCTGACACCAGTGAGCTTAAGGCAAGTGCTCAGCTTCCTTCCCTTATTGCTTTTTGCAAGTTACTCTTTTAGTTTATGTGAAAGAGCAGCAGTCTTACAACAACCAGAAGAGAAAAAGGGACAAAATCTTCCTCTGATTTTCTAGAGTTGTGGGGGAAATGCAAAAGCTACACAAATCAACAAATTATTATTATTTTTAAGATTTTATTTATTTGAGAGAGAGACAGCACGAGTGGAGGAGAGAGGAGAGGGAGAAGCAGGCTCCCTCCTGAGCAGGGAGTCCAATGTGGGGCTTGATCCCAGGACCCTGAGATCGTGACCTGAGCTGAAGGCAGACGCTCAAAAGACTGAGCCACCAAGGTGCCCACAAATCAGCATATGAGATCAACTGAGTGTCTCTTCCATATTTGAAATGAAGCCATAGTTGCTACGTGAAAAAAAGGGTGATGCAGGTAGAGGGGATGAAGACACTTACTGTGATGAGCACTGAGTAAGCTATGGGAGTGTGGAATCACTGTCTTATCACCTGAAAGGAATATAACACTGCATATTTGCTGTACTGGAATTAAAAGAAAAAGAAAAGAAAAAAAGGGGGTGATATTAAGTACAGAAAATATAAATGTTTCTTCCTAATATGGGTAACTGATATTTGGGATCATGTAGGGAGTTATGTAGGAATTTGCTCAGGAAGAAATGAGCAAATGAGCACACCTCTTCACTGAGAAGTCAGCCAGGTAACAGTGTTTCATGAGCTCCATGCGATGACTTGCACCATGAAGTGAGGCTGGTACCCAGGTCGGGACAGTGTCTTCCTGGATTTGAAGTGTTCAACTCTTTTTTTTATTTTTATTTTTAATTTTTTTTTGAAGGTTCTACTCTTAATCACTATGGATAAGAAAGGCATTAAAACTTAAAAGAATTTTTAGGGGATCCCTGGGTGGCTCAGCGGTTTAGCGCCTGCCTTCGGCCCAGGTCATGATCCTGGAGACCCGGGATCAAGTCCTATGTCAGGCTCCCTGCGTGGAGCCTGCTTCTCCCTCTGCCTGTGTCTCTGCCTCTCTCTCTCTCTATCTCCATCTCTCATGAATAAATAAATAAAATCTTTAAAAAAAAACTTAAAAGAATTTTTAAAAAAGATTTTATTTATTAATTCATGAGAGACACACAGAGAGAGACAGAGACATAGGCAGAGAGAGAAGCAGGCTCCCTGCAGGGAGCCCAATGTGGGACTCGATCCCAGAACCCTGGGATCACGCCCTGAGCCAAAGGCAGATGCTCAACCACTGAACCATCCAGGTGTCCCGAAAACTTAAAAGAATTTAATCAAAATCTTGAAATGTCCTGTATGCGTGCCACTGGAAAGAATGTGTTACTTCATATGCACATATCCTTTCTGGCTGATGTGCGTGTTGTGAGTACAGATGCGAAAAATGTCCTGGTTCTTCGCAGATGAGTGCTCTGTACTGGACTTTTGGAATGTTTCTGAATCAGGAAACAGACTAGTAGGGAAAGGGAATCTGTTTTTTTTTTTTTTTAAGATTTTATTTATTTATTCACAAGAGACACAGAGGCAGAGACACAGGCAGAGGGAGAAGCAGGCTCCACGCAGGGAGCCTGATGTGGGACTCGATCCCAGGTCTCCAGGATCACACCCTGGGCTGAAGGAGGTGCTAAACCACTGAGCCACCAGGGCTGCCCGGGAATCTGGTATTAAGTTAGCACTTAAATATGTGTGGTGGGGACATTATTTTAGGAAATATTTCCTTTTGTATTTTTTCTCCTGAATCATTAGCTCTTTTCCTCTGAAACCGTTCTAAGTTGAGGCTTATTTCCCTAGAGAAAAAAGGGCAGACATAGGCCATGGGAGGGAACAGAATTAAAAATAAGGAAAGCAAGAAGCAAGGAAAAGCAAGCATCTGATGGGGTGCAAAAGCTGGTGAGCAAATATCAGGGTAAATGTCTTCCACACCCTCTCACACCTTGAGACTGATCTTTGCAGTGGGGGTGGGGGAGGGTGGCGGTGTGCTGGGGAGTCAGCAAGCCACCCCTCCCAGCAAGGTCTGGAAGGGGCTGCAGGAGGTGTTGAGGCAGCATCTGTGTTGTAAAGCCAGGTTTTCAAATGTCCTATGGTGGATACAGAGTGTTTCTAGGTGGTGCATGATGGGGCATAATATAATGTTCCGTCCTTAAATGATAAATGGGTTTCCTTTAATTTTTTTCTTCTAATTCTTCCATTGTCAAGGAGAAAATGTTAATTAGAAGTTATTGTGTCTTTACTATTACTATTGCTGTACCACTGGCCTTGGGCCTAGGAAGAATCTGTTCTCTTCATTGGCTTCCTCGTGGTGAAGGAAAGATAAGAACAGTTCCCATAATTGGTGTTAAATATGCAGGTAGCAAAACACAGACTAGAAGCATAAACAAAGTGAACTTAGATTTGAAAACAGGGAAGTAAATTCAGCCATAAAGGAAGGGACATGTTTCACTGTAAGCATATATCTGTGGAATAGTTCAAATTCTTCAAAGAAATCTGTGACAGGAAGAAAGGGCAAATAGCACTGGGGATTTTTATACACTGAGCTGCAGAACTCCACAAAGCCCAAGGAGAAGGGAGTGACATGGAACAATCTGAGTGATTGCTAAGGATAACTAAGCAGTGGTGGGGGGGGCACTAGCACTTCCCAGAGGAAGGGCCTGAGTGAGGATTTCCTAATAAGACTACACTGTGGGGCACCTGGGTGGCTCAGTGGTTGAGCATCTTTTGGCTCAGGTCCTAATCCCGGGGTCATGGGATTGAGTCCCCCATCAGGCTCTTCTGCAGGGAGCCTGCTTCTCTCTCTGCCTATGTCTCTACCTCTCTCTGTGTGTCTCATGAATAAGTAAATACAATCTTAAAAAAAAAAAAAATGACCACACTGTGTTTCTGAAACAAGGTGCAGTGGTTCTGGAAGGTACAGTATGAGCTGCCTGGTTTCTTATCCCAAGCTCCCTCCACCCTATAGCTAGGGACATCTGGTCCCTACCAACAAATTTTTCCCTTCTCATATACTGTGGTTTTCTGTCCTCAGGAGAAATTAAGAAGCTTAATTGAAAAAGTCAGGGTTGACTCAACCTCACTGTGTATTTTACTGCTAACCTTGGTTGTGAAATCTGCATCGCTTCCGTGGCTGAGCATCTATTCTCCATAATTGGGTGGCTGTTGTGTTCTTTCTACTCCGCCCATCCCCTTATAATCACAGAGAACCTTGTTTCCCTTGGTAGGAGAGCCCTGCCTTGCTTTTTGCCAGTTGCTAAGAATGGAGATTCCGTCTCTGGATGAAGTGGGTTGGGCCCAAGAAGGGCTGTCAGGACTCCGTGACATTACCTTGCAGGTTCCAGCTCATTTTCTGCATGTTTCTAGATACTGGAAAGCTAAAATAGAATCATATGGTGAATGAAGATACTATAAAAGCTGGTACAAACATTAGTTGCCATTATAGCTAATTTTATCACTGCCGAGGGTGGCAGTTGTACTGTTGGAGGAGCCCTTAGAATTGCCACAGTTGAGGATCCTGAGTAAGATTGGCCTGTGTGGAGTGTAGCAGCCCACACAGTTCAGCCACTAAGGAGGTAATGACAGAACAAAAGATTCCCCCTAGGTAACACCCAGGAACCAGGCCCAGCATCTGCTGGGGGAGAATGGATAAAGAGTGGTTTTAGAAGTGGGGCAGCTCTTGGTGAATGGCAGTGTGGGGGGGTCCATTGGGGGTGTAGGTCTGAGGAGGGGGTCTTCTAGGCTAAGTGTATTGAGAGTAGTGCTGGGAACCCTTAGTCAAGACAGCCCCATAAACTGGAAGTGGTGTTGGGGAGAGAGTAGCCCACACTTTCTTCTGTAGCAGAAGAAGGGAAACAGCTAGTGGGAATTGAGCCCTGTATCTCTCGAATATGTTCCTGTTTGGTCCCAACAACATCTGCTGCACATCTGTATCATATTTTCCCTGGATTACTGTAATTATGTACAAGTGGTCTTTCCACTTAACCTTTCACAAGCAAACTTGATTCTTGTAAGTAAATTTTGCTCTTTGGGTGATGTGATTACACAACATGTAGTTCTATTGACAGTGTCAGGCTTAACAATTTCTTATGCCAGTGTTAGTGGTGTAAAGCAACGTTTTCAAGTGTGGGGCACATAGCTCTTGTGGCATATAAAATGCTTCTAGGTGGTGCATTATAGAGTTCAGTCATGAGGTGAAAAATGGATTCCCTTTCATTTTTCTTCCAATTCTTTCACAATGAAGGAGAAAAATCGTAGAGGTTACTATGTTTTTATGCCCCTTGAACATTTACTAGTCTATTTTTTAAATAAAGAATAAGCCTTTAAGCTCAGTGCTGGGAACAAGCAATAGTACCTGGTAATACTGTTTTATTTTTATTATACAGTGGTTTCTTCTTCTCTCTCTTTTTAAAAGATTTTATTTATTTAGAGAGACACACAGAGAGAGGCAGAGACATAGGCAGAGGGAGAAGCAGGCCCCTGTGGGGCGCCTGATGTGGGACTCGATCCCAGGACCCCGAACCTGAGCCAAAGGCAGATGCTCAACCACGGAGCCACCCAGGCACCCATTTTTCTTTGTATTAAAACATTTTAATCCCAGAATAATTAACATATAGTTACATTAGTTTCAGGTGTACAATATAGTGATCAGCTATTCCATACATTACTCAGTGCTCCCCATGGTATGTTGTATAGTATTTCCTTTTTTGTTATCTTCCAGTTGTGGAAAATTCTATGGAAATCATACAGAATTCCTTTTACTAGAAATAAATTTGAGTAAGTTCAAAAGGTGGTTGAGTTAAAAAATTATCATCATAGGTGGTATGTGGATATGGGAAGAATTGTGAGTGTGGAATGGGAGTAACAGAACTACAGACAAATAGATGGGAGAAGGGAATGATACCAGTGATAACCAGATGCAGTAAGCAGGTGAACAGAAGCTCTGGCCAGTTGCTGCTGATACCAGGATGATATCCAGAGTCAGGGA